TAGACATTTCTCGGGTCACCTAGGACTTCCCGGTCTAAAAAATTGAAAAATGCCTAAATGGTTCAAAATGCATTTTTAAGAGTTCTAAACTCAAAGAAATGGCCCAAATCACTCTCGAAATCTTCGTGGCAAGCCAAATGATGTGTGATACGCAAAACGAGGCGAGAAAATAAAATAATCCAAAAATTCAAAAAATGCTCGAAAAATGAAAAATTGCAAAACGTCACACCTATGGTGGGACTAGGCGATTTGTGAGAGAAAATCTATGATTATGAGGTTTTTAGAGGTTTTTGGATCTTCCGAGTATAGTAGTGAAGTCATATAGAAGATTAGACGGTCAAATTGTGAGAAATGCAAATTTTGCCATTTCATTAGGGTTTTATGATCGAATGGGTAAGAGTTGTTTTGTGAGTGCAACTCTAAATGTAGAGCTTTGAGACATGGAGTCGTCTCGAGCAATAATTTGCCACACCCAAAAAATTTAAAAAATTAATAATTAAAAATCAAAGTCTGGACAGAACTTTAAACTAACTTCCCAAATGGCACTCACAATGGGTAAGAGTTGTTTTGTGAGTGCAACTCTAAATGTAGAGCTTTGAGACATGGAGTCGTCTCGATCAATTATTTGCCACACTCAAAAAAATTTTAAAAATTAATAATTCAAAATCAAAGTCTGGACAGAACTTTAAACTAACTTCCCAAATGGCACTCATGACACTTGTCACACCCACATTCCATGATAACTAATAACAATTAGACGTTGGTAAAAAAATTGTTGGAAATAAATACCCTCAACTTATAACGAAATACAGTATAAATAAACCCAAGCTATCGAGAGTACTGTGGGTATCTTCTTCTTCTCAATTTCAAGATAGTAGTTGTTCCAGAATGCCGTCCTGTAATCTGTGCGCCAGAGCCTTCGAAAACATGGAAGGACTCCTCCTTCATCAGCACGATGCGCACAGAAAATGTAAGGTATTCTGCCCTGTTTGCAAACTTGCTTTCCGCACCAAACCAGACCTTGCTGTTCATAACAATCCTCATCCCAGAGCATAAAAAGCCCTCATTTTTTTGTTCTTTCTTTTCTCTCTTTAGTTTTATTTGCATAAAAGAGCTTTCCTCCATTGTTACTCTCGTCTTCCTCAGACTCTGTTTGTTGGGTTTTGTTTCTTGTGTCATTTGGGGTTTGTTGGGTTTTCTTTCTTGTGTCATTTGGTCCTAACGTAGCCTGAAAATTCCAAGATGAATCTTTCTGCGACAACGCCATCACCCCAGAAATCGTCGGCCCTTCTTCCTCCTAATCTTTACTCCGTGTCTGACCCAATTCCATCGAAGCCAGTGGCGACAACTTTTTTTCATTCATCCATGGGTAATTCAGATCGGAGCCCCGAGTCCAAGATTGGTGAGGATTTTCTGATTACAGGGTTCAAGATTTGTGGTGGAACAAAGATGGTTATTGTTTTAATAATTTTCCCAAGTTGTTGTGATATGGGTTTCGTTCTTGTGAGTACAGAGTTCAAGGTTAGTGATGAACATGTTTAATTGATTATTAGCATTTTTTTTTTTTCCCCTGAGTCCAGAGTTCAAGTTTTGGGTATATAATTGCAGATGTTGAAGAGATTAAAGTCTTGTATCTGGCAATGGTGGAATGAAGACCGAACCACCCCAAACGTCAAGTCCCCTTCCATCACGTATGTATACAACTGGTTTTGTCTTTTTTTCTTTTTTGTAGTTTGATTCAGATCTTTTTTTCTTATAATTTCTCCTTCTTGTTGATGTACATGATTGTGCTGATGAAATGGATTACCAAGAAGATTTTTATAATTCTTCCAGGAACAAAGACCACTGTTTTGCCTTGGAATTCAATCTGAATTCAATTGATAGACCTATTAGTTTTTGTTTAGTTACTGATTCTTAATCAATCCATCTTTGTGCATTAGTGAATTTGGTCTACCTCTGAGCTCTACTGGTCTCAAGAACGCCTGCTCTACACCTCTACTAGATAAAAGGAATGCAAAACTTCCGGATTGGTCGAATCAAACATTGTCTATTGTTGGTAGGGTGGAGTTGATCAAGACTCTGATCACTCCTCTCATTGTCCTTGATCTTCGAGCTGTTGTGCTACATTCTATTGAGAAGAAGCTCGGGAGATTTGTGAGGGGTAGTATCGATATTGTGAATGGAGCTAAGGCTTGGAAGAATTTGATCACTCACAGAGCTGCTGTGCAAAAAGCTTTTTCCTGCTCTATGGTGTGGGAGTGGGACTTGAGGATGGGAAAGGACAGTCTATGGATAGCTTGGTTCCCGACTAACTATTTGAAAAATGCATCTTATTGGAATGATGTTCCTGCTGCTAGTCATTCCACTATTTGGAAGAAAATGTTGTGTCTCAGAGATATCATGAGCCAGAAGGTTTCCTACGGGATTGGAACTCGGTCCACGATTAGATTGTTTCAGGATTCATTTGGGTATTCTATCGTGCAAAGATTTGGTCATGGGGTTGTAAGGTGGTGGTTCCCATTCCCTAAAGATTCTACTCATCGGCTGCTTATTCATGAGGGCCAGTGGAATCTTCAGTTTCCAGAAGCAGATCATTTGCAGCTAGTGAATCAATTCATATCTGAACTCTGTGAATATTTTGATCAGAATCTTCAGTTTATAGAAGCAGATCATTTGAAGCCAGTGAAGCAATTCATACACAATCTGTGTATGTCTTTTGACCAGTGTTTGGAGTGGTTTATACAGCTGACAGATGGTAACACGTTCAGGTCGAAGCTATATAAGATGGTCTTCCTTGCAATGTTGGTTTCAAGTGTTCGATGCAGCTGGACTTTGTTGTGCCTGGACTTCTGTTGTGTAATGTGCCATTTTAGAGATAGTATTTCAATCCTCTAGTAGTCTATGCATGCCAAGCAAGTCTGTCTTGCTTCACTTTCGGTATGCTAAGCCAGTCTTTTTGGCAGAGATAGTATCAGTCTTGTAAATCAAATCCAGTATGCTAGCTAAGCCCAGTCTTTTTTTCAGAGATAGTAAGCCAGTGTGTTTGCAGACATAGTATCAGTCTTGTATATCTTTTTTTTTCGCAAAGTATGCTTTGTGTTCCATTTCAATTGATGGCATCTTTTGTTTTCAATTTATCCATCTCCCTCTCTTTTTGTGATATATTATGATGCTGCTTATCAGAAATAGTCTGGTATAGAGTTACAAGTGGGGACTTGTGGACTTGTCCCACATCAAATCTGGATGGAAAGTTAAATGGGTATAAATTGATCGGTATACAATACTAAACATAGTTGTTAGAAATTGTAACGGGAAGTTTATTAAGGCTGTTTTATCACTTACAAGCCATTAAGTGGTCCCATTCGGGATTCGGGGAATATATTGCTTAGTTCTTCTGTCATAATCTATTATCTATATATATCCTCCTATATCCATTTTTTTTTTTTTTTTTTGGGAAATGGAAATGACCTTTTTTTATAACTTTGAAAGAAATTAATAATGGATAAAATTGTGAATATAAATCATTTGTTATCAATTTATATAAATAAAAGAGAAATGAATAATGAACTCCAAAATTCCAAATTCCCTTCTGAAAACAGCTATCATGTAAGCATTCTTAAGCCCCCCAGTAGAAAAAAGAGACCATTTGGGATGGAGACCCCAAATAAATTGATCAGTTCATACCAATCACCTGTGAAGTATAACTTCTGTTTTAAAATTTCGTGTTTTGGAAGTGTTCTAAATTTCTGGGAAAATTTTGGGCTGTTTGTGTGCTTTACTGCTTTGAATGCTTGGTTATTTGATTACTCGTTTTTAGAGTTGTCTTTATTTTCTCAAAAATTAAAAAAATCTAGAAAATCCAAAAAGATTTTTTTTCTTCTAGGAATTTAGATTATTTTTTGTCATTTAGGGCCATTTATAGCTTTATAGTTCTGTTCTAATGCTTCTTTGAGTGTTCAGGGGCATTTAGGTCATTTTGTAGGAAGAGGCAAATACGTATTTTAAGCGTTACAAGTTTAACAACTATTTAAGCAGTACAAGTTTTTTTATTCCCATTTTAGAGATATATGTTAAGCCAAGTCTTTTTTCGAAGATAGTATTTCAATTCCAGTATGGAAAAGCAAAGTCTTTTTTCAGAGATATATAATAAGCCAAGTATAGTCTTTTTTCAGAAGTTTTTTTAGAGAGTATTTCAATTCAAGTTTTATGTTTGTTCTTGTCCTGTTTCATTTTAGTTTTTGGTATCTCTTTTTCAACCTCTCCATCTCTCTCTCTCTCTCTCTCTCTCTCTCTCTCTCTCTATATATATATATATATATATAAAAGTCATGATATTTAGATATAAATATCATGACTTTTATTTGATGCAGTGGATAAGTGTTACAAAGAAGAACTTGTCCTACATTGAATTCGGGTGAAAAAATGTATAGTATAAATGGGTGAGTATACAGCACTATCCAAATAGTTTAAATTTTTTGATAAATAGATAAGCGTCTACCCATTATAGTTAATATCACAGCTAGATTCAACCTTTGATTCGATGGCACGCCAAGCGCCCGGCCCAGATGGCGTTGGGTCTTCATCTCAAGTAGGGATGCAGGGTAGCCCGACCCTCAACGAAGGACATTGCGAGTTCAAGTGAGGGAGAATATTGTTACAAGGGGAAACTTGTCCCGCATCAGTCCAAATAAAAAAATGAGTATAAATTAGTGGACATACAGCGCTACTCAAATAATTTAAATTTTTTAAATAAATGAATAAACGCTCACCCGTTACACTTATACCCTTATAACAAAAATGATTTCAAATTCAAATGGCGTCCTCCAAAAATGATGAGCTGTGACTCCATCTTTTTAAGCAGTACGAGTATTTCAATTCCAGTATAAAAAGCCAAGTCTTTTTTGTCTTTGTTTTTTTTCACACAGTATTTCAATTCAAGTCTTTTTTAAGTATGCTTTGTGCTTGCTCTTGTCCTGTTTCATTTTAAGAATTGTCCGTTTTGACAAGAGTGTACGGTATATGGGATAAAAAAAACAAAAAAAACCTTTAACCAGTGGGCCCCACTGGCCTTTTAATATTTTTATTTTATACCTCAAATATTTTTAAAATTTATGAAGAGGCCCCTACTGAAATTACAATTTGCCCCCACTAAATTCTTTTTTTTCATTTTAAACTTAGATGCCCCCACTAAAATCACAATTCACCCCACTGTGTTTTTTTTTTTTTTTTTTTTTTTGCATTTTATACTTTACATTTTTAAAAATTTATGAAAAAAACCCTATTGAAATTACAAAAATGGACCCACTATATAAGTTTGCCCAACAAATTAAAAGGCCGCCGCCCCCCTCACGAAATTTTCTGGATCCGTCACTGAGTATGGGATAATTCAAGGAAATGGACCTTAAAATTCTATAGCTATGAACAGCATAAAATTGAATCACAATCTTTAAGAAGTTCTACTGAAATATACAGCTTTGTTCATCTCAAGTTTGCTGCCAAGTTTACATGTGTCTAAGAACCAACATTCCGAAACCAATGCCAAGGAATGTTGCGATTGAGATTCCAAATATGCCTATAAGAATCCCAGGAACAACCAAGGAGCCCCACCCTTTGGCCGTCGCCATTCCACATGCGGTCGTAGGGCCTCCAATATTGGCATTCGAAGCCAAAAGTAACTGCTTTAGGTCGAACCGAAATAGTTTTCCCAGTGCAAGGATCACAATAAGATGGACAGTGACCTGAACAAGAGCAAACATGAAAATAGATGGCGCTGTAGTGATGACATTCCGTATGCTCCCACTGGCACCCACAACAGCAAAAAATACCTGTTGTGAAACAAGGGATAAAAACCGATCGAAATATCAAAACCAAAAAGTTCAGGGAAAAAGAAAAAATAATTCAATTTGTGAATCAATGAGAACTGAGAGGAAGTTTATTAGTCTGCTATCAGAAAAAATCCTCAGAATTGTGGGCATACTCGTGTATATGCATCAAAGTAACAACATACTAGAGCAGCATTGTACAAGAATAAGAGTTCAATATTGAAAAAAAAGGCAAAATTACCATCAAAGTTTACAGGCATAAATTTTGGGTTTTTTGAAATAGAGAACATAACTCAAATTGTATAAAAAAAAGTTGCATATATAAGTGTGTAATAAATAGTGTCAAAGTGGTGAACTTGTAGAGCAGGCAGATAAAAATGGATATTATCCATATTAATTAAGACAAATTAAATTCTATATATAAAACCCGTATATAGATGTAAATTACTAATTAATAACACAGACTTCCTAACTATTAGGACACCTAATGTATCAATATCTCCTGCAAAAATGTAGTACTTGTGAATCCGGTCCGAACCAATCCAAATCATGTGGTTTGATTCAGTTCCAGTCCCAAAATAGTGGATCCACTTAGGATTGGTTTGGTGGTTGAGAAGTGTAAAAAAAAAAAAAAACCAATCCAATCCAAACAGAACTGTACTGTACTTCTGCTAGACAAATAAAAAAGTTTATAAATATCACTTTTTCCAAACACTGACCCTTATTCACATAAATACTTAAATAAAACGATATTATTGCTCATAAATAATATTCTAATTCTTGTTTGCATATTATATTATTACTGTGTTATCATTAGATTTTAGGAACTTAAAATGCACTCTCGACTAGGAACTAGATGAAAATTTTATTTAGTTTATAAATGTTGGGTTTAAGTAATTCCTGGTTTAAGCTTATGCAACTATTATTATTAAACTGTCTTTAGGTAATTATGCTCAATTCATGGAAATGAACCGATCCAAACAAGTCCTACACGGTTCAAATTGTTTGGTTGAGGCAGTTACATCATCCCGTTCAGCTCTAATTTTGTTGGAATCATTAGGATCGATTTGGTTCTACCCCTAAGTAATATCTCAACAGATATTAAATTCCGTACATATGCTGGAAATCAATGAACTTGAGATATTTCAGTTACCTGCATCAACACCACAGCAATAGCCTCACCAGCCGGTGCAAGGTAACTAAAGTGTGTTGGAAATACAGTTGCTAGAATGACAACAATTGCTGTTGTCCCTGGAAGAATGCCTCCTTGAATTCCAAACAATTTGGTGAGATAAACGGCAGTTTTGCAGATGGCAAACGAAACGGCAAGCCCTGTAGCAGCCTGTAGCACAGCGAGCCTGCTTCTAGAATCAGATTCCATATCTGTCACAGAATCTGAAATTTAGGTTTAGATAGAGGTTAATTGTCGCACAATAAATTAAGAATAGTTACTTCTCTCTTAAAATAATTGCTAAGCAAACCAACAAATCATCAAAACACCTGTAAAATTCACATAATTGATATGTATAGAGGGTGTGTGTAATGTTCACATTTACAATATCTTTTCTGAAAAAAAAAAAGGATAACCAAAAGATTAGAATCACAGGTTTATATTTAGGTGTAAAACCAATGTATAAGGATACCCTAAACTGAATTGCACTGTGCAGCAAAAAAATAGATAATAACAGATTGTTCATTTCAAGAGTGGACAAAAGTTGAAAAATACTTGTTCAAGGTACAACAAGAGCTGAACGACAACATAACTAAGTTAAATATGGCTTACCTTGGGTTGATGTTGAATCCTCTCGAGGTATTTTTGAGGCTAAAGCAAATAATATCGTAAAATATATAGCACAAATAACATTGTCAGCAGCTACACCTGCAGCCAAAACTGATGGAGAAACACCAAGAGCCTCTGAAATTGCAATGTAATTAACAGCTACAACAGATCAGAGAGAACAACTTGGTCAGCTGTGATGCTGAAAATAAAAAAATAAATGCATCTTGATAGAAATGCAAGGCCAAATGATGGACATTAGAAGAGAAGAACAAAGGAAGTCAAAACTGTTTTTATATTGGAAAACAGTAGAGGTCTGGCCACAAGATTGCATCCAAAACAAAAATTAATTACTGCACCTAATGCAACATATATAGTTTCTAAGTCATCACGGGAAACACTATAATGCCTCAAAGTTAAGAGACAAATAATTAGATGATTCTACACTAGAATCATATCTTATGTTTTGGATAAATTAGAGCAATATACTTTACTACAACTATCAAAACAACGTGGTTTTACATAAACAGTGAAGCACACTTGAATTGCACCAACATGAAGTTTCTGCTTAAACCTGTTCTTTCTTAAGCAAGGGAAAGTAGAAGGTTTTAAAGAGTACCTCAAAGTTGGTTTCGACCAGTCAAAATAGAAAATTTTCCCTTCACTCCATCCAAAAAAAAAAAAAGTACTTTGTTACACTTGTAAAGAAATAAATCTAGTGAATTTTTTAGTGATGTCGAGGTTTCTCTTTTCTTTGGTAAGTAATATGGATGCTTCCCAAGATCGGTAAAGACTAAAGACAGCTCTTGGCAGGAAACAAACCCATGTAAGACATGAAAACTCAATTCTTTTAAGTATACTGATGAACCAGATTTCTGAAACATCCCCAGTTAGTGTTACTCCATCCACATCTATCCAACCTCCTTCATTTCCCCTTTCCAACAGAAACTTATAGCACCAAATCAAAAGAGTTTAATCCTTATGTATCAACAGAAAGAGCACAATTTAAGAATGATTACAAAAGCGCTACTCAATTAGATAATGCAATTAGCAAAGAAGCCCAAAAGATAAATTGGAATAATGAAGAAGTACAGTACTATAAGCTCTAATACTGATTTCTATATCAGGAAATAGATCCATTTCAACCCGTATCTTGTTAGAAGAGATCAAGCCAAAAGAAGAATGCAATAACATTTCCAACAAGTTACCTCCACCAATATAACTACCCATGAGAGCAGCAGCTATTTTCCAACTATCTTGACCAAGAGATCGCATAGGCACCAACAGGAATGCCACTGTAGTTCCAATTATTGTCGCAACTGTTTCATGAAACAAGTAATGTGTCACACATAATCATAATTGACTGTACCATGAAATACTGCCTAATTTAGATTTTAAAAGGAACCAACTTCTAAGGTGTTTATAAACTCAGATTGACTATGTAATAAGTCTATTCAAGCATGAACATTCAGTGGCAGTGATTTTCACCACATGAAAGCAAGATAAGATAGAGCAGAAGTGTGTTAAATCCTCACGGAAATAATTTTATTAAATATTAGGAGTGTCATAGAATAATTGAAGTGTCAGCATTGCATTGGAGAGGGCCGGGGTTGAGGTTCAATTAATACCATTGATCGCCGGAGAGGGGGGAGAGGGAGAGAGAGAGAGAGAGTAGAGTTCATAATTTCACAAATCGAAGACCACTTAATTTGATTATTTGCAGGTGGGCCTTCCAACAAATAAAACCAAAGGGCATAGTACTGTTTCTCCCCAAGAAATCACTTGGAACTTATACTGAAAACTGAAAGTGTGTTTGGAAAAGCAATCTGTATGTGGTAAGCCATTTATCAAATGTGATAAAACGAAGAGATTTATAAAGCTTGAATAGATTGTGTTAGTTGCAGTTAGAATGTGATAACGCACTGCTAAATGAAGACCAGCTTTATTTCTATTCAGTGGAAACCTACACATGATATATTTTTTCCCTTCTTTTAATAGTTGTCAAGGTCATCTTAATAGCGTGCTTCATATGCAAAAACACGTAAGTATGCAACACTAATTGTTTCCTTAATCTTCCTCAAAGCCTAAAAGTTTCTTATATATTCAGTTGATATTTTTGACAATGCTATAAAAGAGTGAATATGATAGATCAAAATTTTTAGATCATAAATTGTCAATGACAACAGTACTACTGAAAGCTCAGAACATCATTAACTTGAGGCTGGTCGGTTTTTACATAGTGCTATGATTAGATACATAAAGCAGCCAAAAAGCTAGGGTCTTGGCACATTCAACAACCTGAGAAAAGGAGAACAATAAATAGACTATATCAGCAACCCACTGCTGAATTAAACCTCCTAAGAGGTTGCTCTCTTTTCCTTATATAATAAAGGTACTCAACCCAAAAGATGTTACGGTAACATAACTTGTTAAAGCTGAAAGTAGAATCATAAAGATCTATGTATTAATAATGAATAATCTTAATCCTTAAGCACGACAGTACATACACTGAAATTAGAGAATAAATGAGTAACTTTGAGATATCAATTACATGAACATAGATTTACTTACAAGATCCAGAACTAGCTTAGTCATTCACTCTCTGCTCCACCAATAAGATCCATGAACTCAAGCACACCTCCACTCAGAATCTACGAGACTATTCAATTGAACCATCTAACCTAGAGTGAGATCCAAGACAGGTATGTCATACTCATTGAAGAGATAGATGCTCTACAATAGGAAAGGAAACAAAAAGCAATTTTCATATAACAGAGAGACTGCAAGTTAAGAATCATTGCTTGGTGCAACACTGCAGCAGTACAAGCTTGGGCTACAAAGCATGAGAAAACATGATCAAGTCCAAAGGCAACCACTTTTCCCAATCTACCCCTCCTAGTGCCCTGCAATAGGGTAACGGCATTTACAAAGGATACAGATTTTTAATCAACATTTTCAAACATGTTTTTTGAGTCATCAAAGCTGGGAACCAATCAATATTTCTTTTCTTTTCTTGTATTTTTTTGGTGTTTTGACTCTCTTGATGCTAATAGGGCCTAATGAATTACTTCCACAACCAATAAAAAATTCAAAAACTCGCCTTTTTCATGTGAAAAACTATGCCATTTTGTGTACCTAGAAAGATATTACTATTCCAAAATATTCTAACAATTGCAATTTCCAGCAAAACATGGGTTGCATGCACCAGTTTTTGTGGCTTGAGGACCTTCCATATATTTTTGCACCCAACCCTACCTTTCTAACACTTTGAGAACTTGGATAGTCAAGATATATAATTTAAGCACCTATTTACTCGCATGTGCAGAAGTTCCTCCCCTTTGTCTAGGCAACATATTAATTTCTTACCCCCACTGGACCTCGACAAGCAAGCCTTTGCTACAGCTTTCAAGATTGACCATTCACCCTATAATATAGCAATATTTGAAATAATAGCTACAGAAAATGATCTTTTTGTTCAATCTTGCCACCACTTCTTTCTCCAAATTTCTGTTCCAAGAGTAAATAAAGTGGAATAGAAAAACAAATAATATTTGAAGTCTTAAGTTATATTTTATGTTTGATACCACATAATGGAAAATCAGTACAAATGCTAAATATTGTACTATGATCAAATGAGAGAAAATTTGAAGTTCGAATTCTTGTTTTTGTTTTTCTTTATAAGTTCGAATTCTTTTTTTTCAACCATCAACCAAACTGAGAGCAATTGATTTTTGTTTCAAATTTGGCAACACCATACTACACAATCCCAACCCAAAATACCAATTTCAACAGCTTTTCCAACAGTTATACATATAAAACCGATGTTACATGACTCTTCAAAAGTACATGAAATACTCATGCAAAAACATTAGATTCAGACAAGGCCACGAGGTATGGTGTATGCATCTGACACATTTGGTTGGACATTTACCTACAAAGCATATACAACAATTCAATTTTATTGGATCATTGCTTCAAAATGAGTTAAATGACTGTCTGAGCACTATGTTATACGAAACATCATTTTACTCTAGTCTAGATATAAGAAAAAATATTAAATAATATGAATATTTAGAGTGTTTATGCGTCCTTCTGTTTGGGAATTTGATGCATCTGACGCTTGAACACATACCCGAACGCAAACATACCCAAATCTAGGTAACATAGTGTGAAACAACCGACTAAATGCTCAATCATTCATTAATAATGATCAAATTGATATAACTTTTTTCCTGCGAGGATATCAATCAAATAAAGCTTAAAAACAAAGAAAGCAAAAGGAAAGAAGACAGCAAGTCTGAGAAGTATGACCTGATCCAAGCAAAAACGCGCAGAGCAAGGTCCGAGTTGTGCGTATCACATGCCGCAGGTCTGCTCTGAACAACAGCAGTGGAACAGTTAGTGGCAGCAAATACTGCAACACAATTGAGTACGCCGGAGCTTCGTAAGGAATAATCCCAATGTTACTCGCTGCAAGCCCAACCAAAGTGCTCACCAATGCAGCACTCACCATGCTCCCTATCTTGGTCTTCTCTGACCTTTAATATGCCAAAATCACACATCAACACAATAATTGTTGTTTGAAGTTATAGAGCTTGCATAGTCATGGTGGGGGCAGTTGCTCCCACTAAATTTTTTTTTATTTTCATTTTGTAAATACGTAATTCTGTTTTTTTTTTTTTTTTTAATACAAAAGAGTGTCTTCAATAAAAATGTATATTATCATAGTTATTATATCTTTTTCATGTTCAAAATTAGTTTCATCTTGCTATCATCCAAAATGCCTCCAGTAAAATAAATTTCTGAGTCTGTCACTTGCACTTGGTTATCAAGAAAGGAAGAAAATCTAATGCTTCCAAGTTCCAAGTGTTTCAGTTTTACAGACATGAAAAAGTTAATCCAACCAACCCATACAGCTTTGTGAGGGTTTTTTTTTTTTTTTTGTTTTCTCATTTATTTGTTTCGAGAGTTATAATCATTCATTCACTCTATTAGACAGAACAAAACTCACACTTTAGATTTGACATTGCAAGTTTGGAACTTTCTTTTTCTTTCCTCTCTCAAACATTTTCTGGGGAAGCAAACAGAGGAAAGAAAATAACAAAACTACACACTCAACCAGTAAAAGAGTGAGTGAGAATTAGTAACTATGTGCTAGTGTGTGAGAGAGAAAGGAAGAGATTACCAGAGACCGAAAGCGCCGGTGGCAAAGAGAGCTGTCCATGTGCCCCAGTGGTCATTCGGAGAAATCAGAGGGAAATTCAATTGAGATCTGACCGCTACACAACGATCCCTAGTTCGATTTCTAGGAAAAACTGGAAGGGATAAGAAACTTGTGTCTGCGATATTAGACGATGATTTCAAAATCGAATTGTTGGTTGGGAATGTATGGACATTTTGGCGGGAAGAGAGGGGTGGTAGTTGGAGTAACCGTAACCGTGAGCTAGAGAAAGCGACGGTGAGCTGAAAAGACGACGTTGACAGCGCCATTAATGGTGAAACATTAATGCCCGACACGCAGTTGCCGACCAGTATTTTCTACCTGCTTACCTGCAACCATTCCAACTTTGGTTTGTTGCCTCCGCTCTCCGTGATAGTGACACGTTGCCACTTTATTGGTCCACGTGGCATGAGTCAGTAGTTGAGTGATTAAAAAGCACAGAGGCGTCTTGTAAGTTCAACGAAAAGTCAACCCTTTTCCAGGTTCACAAGGTTCATAACCAGATACGTTAGTCTCCTTTTAAGCCCACTATTTTAGCGCGGGAGGCCCAATTCAAGCCCATATTGGCCTTTGAACCTTTTAATTAATTAACGTATGCCATTGTCCTATGAACAAATATTGTGCGCTAAACTGCTAATATAGAAATTAAATATAACTTTAACAAATAAATAATCCATAATCTTCCAGATTTGAGTGAAAGCTGAAACTTTTTAAGATTGGATGATGTAATAGTTTTAATCCATATATGTTGTTATATAGATTGGGTACCTAATAACATAGTGAAAAGGAAATAAGAAATAAAAAATAAAAAATAAATAAAATAAAAAAAACAGAAATTCGTTTGTTAGCATAATAAAATAGACCATCACCAAGTCTACGAATCCCGCCCCAAATAAAGGTTACATGGTCCATTTCAGTTGGACCATGTCAGCACATTTTAGCTATCCACTTTCAAAATAAACTCCCACCCTAGTGCCAAACAAATAGTGTTGACTGAAAGCCAACCAAATAAATATATGTATAGCGTGTGTGTGTGTGTGTGTGTGTGTGTGTGTGTGTGGCTACTACATAATTTGCTGTATATAGCTAGAACATGACAAGTCGAGCTTTCTTTAACTTTCAGGAAATCAAGCTTCAATAACCCATTTTTTAACCGAAGCTAATTTGGTTAGCTCTAGAAAAATTTGCTCAAAAATAGAATTTGTTATTCCTAAGACACGGTTAACAAATTACTACATGTAATTATAATGTACATCATCCTAACATTTTTACAAAACCCAACAGAAAACAACTAAATTTTCATAAATTCTAAAGAAAACTAGAACTAAAACGACTCCTCCGCGTAAATACTTTCCCTTAGGTATCTCAGCTGATTGTTTTTTTGACAGATGAAGTATTAAAACTGTGTGTGCAAGGGATGCTGTCTTCCTGCTTCTGCTTCTTCGTGCCGCGATCCTCTTCCTCCATAGCCTTCAATTTGTTCTTTATTGCAGCTATTTTATCGTTTCGGCTCATTTGCCCGGAACTGCTTCCACCAAGGCTTGATTTGTTAGACTTAGCCTTACCGACCGCTTTAGAAGAATTTTCTCTCGTCTCCACCAAATATTTCTCACTAGCAAGATGCACAACCAATGGGCGGCCACAAGCCAATTTCCCATTCATCTTTTCCTTGGCCAATATAGCTTCCTGCATGCTCACTTTAAAGGTGGAAATCAGGAATTGCAAAGAGATGAAGAGATCAGAAATGCACAACTCACCTCTTTGGTGCTAAACTGAATAAAAGCAAAGCCACGTGGTTCTCCACGTTTTGGCCCACGAGTATGCCACAGGAAGTCCTCCGCTACAATCTTTCCGAATGGAGAAAACATCTTGATAAGAGTAGCCCTGAAGAAACAAAAGAAACTTTGACGAAGCAGCTAACACAGAAGTTACTCTGTTTTCACAAATATCGGTGCAACAGAGGAATCAATTTCAAAAGAACTACTTACTCTGTTATCCTCATATCAAGGTTGCCAATGTAGAGTCTGCTTTCACTCTTCTCATCAATATGAACATTGGGATCCTGCATTAGGTAAAACAGTCAATTAAGAAACTTTCATATGCCATGATACAGGATGACATGCAATTTCAGAGGAAGCCATTCTTTGAAAATTGGATTCTAGCTCAATATATGCAATTGATTCTTTAGCTTAAAAGTAAATCTTAGATAATTGGGTGAACTTTGAACCCACATGGTCAGACTCTATAAGCACCATTACCTAATAATTAATGGGCAGTAAAAACCTAAAATGTTACAAGTGGATTTAGTAAAATCTAACCTAAAAATCAAATGGTGGATGCAATCTAGTGAATAAGCCATAAAAGGTTAAAACACTAATCAATGCGGCGGCTAAAAGCCAACCATTAAAACATGCTCCAAAAGGCTTGTAATGAACAATTATCTACCAGCTTGTTTGTATGACTTAACTGGAGAAACACATGTCAAGAAGAGGAGGGGGAGGGGAGGGGGACCATATTGGAAAAGTTAAAAGAAAAAGAAATAGCTAAAAGATCCCTGTCAGAAGCATAATCTGTGGCCATGTGTATATTATACACACATGCATATGCTCAGAAACTCAAGACATTGAAGCTACCATGATACTGCAAAAGGAATCTGACGATTATTCTCGTCTCCAGCCCACAACCACAAAAGATTCTGAAGTTATGACAAGGTGTAATGCACCTGCAGGAACAAATATAACCATTCAAGAAATTCATACATTTCATTCAACCACACCATAAGCTGATAACTATATATTTCAAGTTTGCTATAACTATTCAGTTACCATCACTATTCATTTAGCACGCATCAAAGAAAACCAGAAAAAATGCCTTATATCGTGTTGGAGATTGATGATTCTATGATGTTATTAATGGAGTCAAGGTAACACATGATGGGCTACATTTGGTAAGCTAAAGGAGAGTACCAAGGCTACTCTATAATATGTTGCATCTATTAAATTGAGGCTGACTAACTGAAAAATATTCAGAAAAAAGAATAAATAAATAAATAAATCCAGGCATAATACAAAACAATCCCCCAGTGAATATGTAATATACAACATTCATAATCCACTATATTTCTACTTATCAATTATAACAATAATAATAATCCATATATATTTTTAAATAGTCATTTATTTATTTTTTTTATCATTACCAAACCAATCCACTCACAATCACATGTCTAACGTGTAAGGGGATAAGTAGTTTATTCATATAAGACAAAGAAAGATAGGCCATTACTCCTTTTTTGCAGGATGACAGGCCAGATATGAGCTACAATAGACATCTCATACCAGCTTGTACAAGCTTGTGAGGGCTAGAAGCCTTGGGTTATCTGAAAAATCGCCCAGTGGAGTGGACATGCAATATTCAACTTTCATAATCCACAAATTTTTACACAGTTATGTTTTGCTACTATTACCAAATCAGGCTCCTTAACAACCCCACATATAACATGTCATGCTGAATATATGCTTAATAGCCACTAAAACTAGTCAACAATTTAAAATTTTGAAGCAATTTTCTGTTGGAAGTAATTTATGAACGAAATACCTAAAAACCAAGAAAGGAAGGGTAAAATTTAGGGGTAAATTCACATAACCCCCCTCTACTATCAAATTGGTGCAAAAAACACCCACTAAAATTAAACCACCCCCTGCACTAAAACAACGTTACCACATTGCCCCATTTCCGTTAATTTGCCGTCCAAAGAGAGCACGTGCTCCTATTTAATCATTTTATGTCGAAAATACCCCTCAAGCCAACACATGACTGACAGCAGCACTCGACTTCCCTTTTAATACCGAAAATGTTCTCAATTATATAATCTCTCTCTCCTCCGTCGCATTAAAATTATTCCACCACCACCCAACACCCAAAACAGACCCATCACCACCAACCACCCCAATACCCAAACCAAAATCAGACCCATCACCACCACCACCACCCACGTATTCCACCACCACTCAAAACCGAAACCTCATTTGGGGAGCAAAGTTCTTGAGCTTGATCTTGCGGAAGCATGTAGACAACGATTTCAACGCAGCCGGAAATTTTAGAACCAAGTTTCTGATGACTCGGACGAAAAGATACGGATCCATGACTAAGTATGTAGATGTAGTCCTCTTTTCTCTCTCTAAAAATGTGAGAGCAAAGAGCAGAGTAGTGGTGATGTGTGTATATATAACTGTATTTATGTGTGTAGAGAGAGAGGACACAGTAGCAATGATTTTGTGTAGAGAAAGAGATACATGTGCCCTGTGATAAAATCAGCTAGAATGATCAAAACCAAACAAGCTTTTAATGGTATGTTTCTCGCATTCTCTTTTGATCATACAAAGTAATTGTTTGAATTAGAAAGCAGATTTTTTTTTTTTTTTTTTTCCTTAGTTCTTCAGTACTAAATTCATACCAAAAAAAAAAAATATGGGTTTGTTTTGGCAGAGAGGAAGGGAAGAAAAAGATGGGATCGGGCCCATGGCACAGGAAGGTGCTGCGACGCATCCAACTGAATCTTCAAGTTGAATTTGGTGAGAATGTTGCAATTTTGGGATCGACAAGAGAGTTTGGGTCATGGAAGAACAAAGTGGGGATGAATTGGACAAAGGATGGATGGGTTTGTTAACCCTCTTCCCCGTTGTCCGTCGCATCTCCACCTCTCCTACGTCGTTTCACTGGTCGTCCGATTCCGAGAGCTCCATCGTCACTCATCAGCTTGCTGGAAATGAACCCACCAAGGTTGCAATTGTAATTTGTAAAATAATCATTATTATGTATTTAAATTTCATATTATATAATAGGGGTAAATTTGTCAATTCATACCAACTTAGCGGATTCAAACGGAAATGGGGGCAATGTGATAACATTGTTTTAGTGCAGGGGGTGGTTTAATTTTAGTGTTTTTGCACCAATTTGATAGTAGAGGGGGGTTATGTGATTTTACCCCTAAAATTTAAGCATGATTGTGAACTATGAACTAATATATAATAACCATCCTATAACCTTTTTCCCTTTTTTTAAATAGATAATTGTCCCATTATTCATTAGAAGTTTACCCTTCCTTGATTCACCTCCATTCTCACTTGTATACTCTCATGTCAAGTATAACATTATTATCTTAAACCATTATGTGCAATCCATAAGATGCTAAAGAAAAAGTAAATTTAAATAAGATTTAGATTTTTTTAATAAAAAGATTTAGAAGCAAGGCCCACTTGGGACCTTGCACCATTATAAGTTTGAGTCGGGCAAAGTTATAATTTGTGCTCTCCTTAAACTTGATGCTTACGTGTTTGGGGATTTTCATTAATATTTTCAGGACATCAGCTATAATAATGGCCTCATAGGTGTTCAAAAATGTCAATGTATATTATTATTAGTCTTTATACATAATTTTTAGTTGGTTTAGATTCTATTACTAATCAAAATCTTAAATTCCTAATTACAACTATTAAAGAAATTCCTAATTATAACTATTCAAGAAATTCCTAATTATAACTACTTATCAAAAAAAAAAAAAAAAATTCCTAATTATAACTATTCGGGAAATTCATACATTTCTTTCAACCACACCAAAAGCTGATAACTAAATATTCCAAGTTTGCTATAACTATTCAGTTACCATCATTATTCAAGCAAACCAGAAAAAATGCCTTATATCGTGTTGGAGTTTGATGATTCTATGATGTTATTAATGTACTCAAGGTAACACATGATGGGCTACATTTGGTAAGCTAAAGGAGAGTACCAAGGCTACTCTATAATATGTTGCATTTATTAAATTGAGGCTGATTAACTAAAAAATACTCGGAAAAAAGAACTATAAATAAATAAATCCAGGCATCATACAAAGCAATCCCCCAGTGAATATGTAATATGCAACATTCATAATCCATGTATATTTCCAGTTATCAATAATAATAATAATAACAACAACATTAATATTAAAAAAAATAATAATAAATAGTTATTTATTTATTATTTATCATTACCAAACCAAGCCACTCACAATCACATGTCTAACATGTAAGGAGACAAGTATTTAATTCGTACAAGACAGAGAAAGATAGACCATTACTCTATTTCTTGCAGGATGACGGGCCAGATTTGAGCTACAATAGACATCGCATACTAGCCTGTACAATCTCACGAAGGCTAAAAACCTTAGGTTATCTAAACAATCACCCAGTGCACATGCAATACTCAACTTTCATAATCCACAAATTTTACACAGTTATGTTTTGCTACTATTACAATATCAGGCTCCTTACCAACCCCACATAAAATGTCAGGCTGAATATATGCTGAATAGCCACTAAAACTAGTCACTAATTTAGAATTTTGTAGCAATTTCCTGTTGGATGTAACTTATGAACAAAATACCTAAAAACCAAGAAAGGAAGGGTTAAAAATTAAGCATGATAGTGAACTATGAACTAATATAAAATAAACATCCTATAAACATTTTCTTTTTCTTTAAATAGATAATTGTCCCATTATTCATTAAAAGTTTACCCTTCCTTGATTCACCTCCATTCCCACGTGTATACTCTCATGTCAAGTGTAGCATCAGTGATTCAGTATCTTAAATCATTATGATGCAGTCCATAAGATGCTAAAGAAAAAGTAAATTTAAAGAAGATTTTTTTTTTTATTAATCAGATTTAATACACTTGGGACCTTGCACCATTATACGTTTGACTCAAGCCAAGTTATACTTTGTCCTCTCCCTAAAGTTGACGCTTACATGTTTAGGGGATTTTCATTAATATTTTCAGGACATCAGCTACAATAATGGTCTCATAGGCATTCAAAAAGGTCAATGTATATTATCAGTCTTTATACATAATTTTTAGTTGGTTTAGATTTTATTCCTAATCAAAATCTTAAATTCCTAATTATCCAATTATGATGTGATAATCCAACTATCCGTTCTTTTAATTCATGGGAAATCAATCTTCTTTGATTTAATGTACTTTAAAAATTGAGACCAAGCCTTTTCGACCCTCATTTTATAGCCCAAATAGCTCCCAAAGTCTTATCACAAGAGGTATAATCTCCCAGGAATTTCAAGCGGGCTCATATTCATCGCCGTCAAAATTCAGTTCAAGCTTTCCCAGCCCCAAGAACTGAAAATGAATCAAATCTCTCCAAGTAAGATTTGTACTCACAAACAATCCGATCCAGTTACCATCAAATATTCAACCCTAGTCACCACAAAATGATAGAACCACTAGAATTCTCAAAGGATGAGGCATCGCCAATTCTATTGAATTTGGGCATGGGGTGTAATAAAATACACATACAAAAGAATCACTAGAAGAATCCATTTTCATAAAGTAACATCTTTGAACCACCAGACTGTTGGATTGAATTAGTAGAAGTTTTTCTTATGTGCTCAATCCTAATCAACCTTAAACTGGTCCAAAGCCAATCCAGATACAAGCCTAAATAGATAAAAACAAGCATACAAAAATAGCTTTATATGTCATCTATACACCAAGCCACCATCAATAGGGAAGTCAATAACAGGTTTTAGTAATTTCAGAAACTTGTTACATACCGAGTGATTACTGTAATCGATAAATCTTTGACTTCGACAATTTATGGTGAATATGCAATAAAATCTGCACATTTTCCTTCACCCTCTTACCATACTAGATATCTACATGCTAATTGAAGCCCCTACATCATATAATAACAAGTGCAAATGCTAAAGGAGTTTTAATTGCATATAAATTATGGGGAATTCAGTAATCATTCATCTCCAAGGGTTCCATCACCAAAAACACATCATTCTTAACCGAATTTCAGCAATCATTCATTTCAATTAAGAATGATGTGTCTTAGGTGAAGGAACCCTAAGATGCATTGTTGTGTACCTTGCTTCACTCCTATTTGAAGTCCCATCCTCATCCCAACTTCTTCATCAAACAAACAAAATTCCTATTATTGACTTCTCTAATAATGGTTGGTTTCTCTTTAGCACTTGTAGGATTGTAACTGGATTGAATTTGGATTAAAGAAAGAAGTCGAGCTAAGGTTTCCAAACAATGCTAATTCCAATATCTACCGCTTACTAGGTCTACTTCACGTAGCCAAGCTCTCGCCCATAGACTGAATTTCCCCGTCTGTCTTAGTTGTAGTCTAACTAGCAGATTGGTTATGCCTTTTCCTCAAGAAGGGTTTTGTAGGTCCTTGCTCCTTTTACAATGAAATGTTAGTAATCCCCTTGAGCATCTTTCAATCCCTCACAACAACAAATGACAGGCATATGATCAAGCTTTGATTAAGATTGAGCACACTTGAAAAACTGCGGTCAATAATCATATGCAGAAGCCAATCATCCACATCATCCCCAACTACCATTATTCATTAACACCTTATCCGGAACACTCTCTATGTTGCCTTCCCACTCTCTGCCTTAGCTCAATTGGTTCGACATCTAAAAAGTGTCAAGCTAATGTTGAAAATTCTAACTTCATTTAAATCTTAGAGGCCAAGCTCGATGTTCAAGCTCTGATACCAATTACAACGAAACAACGAAACAACGAAAACGAAAATGCGGAAATATAAAATTGAGAATGTTTACAAAGAGAGAGAGAGAGAGGAGAAAACTTAAAACCTCAGATGCCGAATGCTTGTGTGAGCTTCGGTTTAAATAGAAAAGAAAAAGTAAACAGTTAAGCAAATAAGAAGGAATCTTGCTTTGTACTGTTTAGGAATAGTGATCTGTCGGCTACTTTCACTGTTGATGAATAGTTTGCCGCCTACTTTTCATTGTTGATGAATAGTAGATGTGACATCGCATCTTATCGTGTGCTAGATTGTTGTGCAATCGACCAGTAAGAGGCGCGTGTCAGAATGTTATCCTTTCATAGCATTGATGAGATTATGGAGTTCATATTCAAATTGCGGCTGAATTTCCAGTGAGCTATTGTTTTGTATATCATGTCTTTGATCATGGCAGGGAAAGCATTCCATGACATACAATCATGTGAGGAGAAAGTAATTTTGTTAATTACTCCCCAATCGACAGGTTCCATTGACCAGTCAAAACCAGGTACAATGAAAAGAGTCATTTTTGGAATCTTTTTATTGTTGTAAATCACGTCGAAATGGTTTATCTCTTCATGATTTTCTAGATAAAAATTTTTAATTGTTGTAGAATGATCATCTATTTTGGAGAGGATTATTTTAAACAATTCAGGAGGAAACATGTTTCTTGCTTTTTCAAGAAGACATATACGATTGATTTTTGCAAAAGTATTTTTTGGAAAATCATGTTCTCCAACTAACTGGGCAAGTTTAAGAAAACAATTTATTTGATCTAAAGAAAAATCTTTTTCTCAGTCAACTGTGAGGCAGATCTGGATGCAAAGCTTTTTGTGCTCTTTAGTCATGGCTGTTTGTTCAGCGATGAGCGAAATAAGAGTACTCAGGTGTTGCCTGAATTTCTTATTGCATTCGAGTTGATGTATTTTCCACACACGACTTACTGAATACTAGGATTGTAGAAGTTTTTTACTTCAACGACTTCCTGTCTTTTTGCAAAATTAGCAAAAATATTTTGTGAAGCTTTACCCACATTGTAGAAAACTTGTTGAGATTCCTCAAGTGTGTCATATGCTTTGAAGCATGATCCGGGAAAGTTTTTTAATTGGAGATGTTTCACGAGGTTGTCGTGCTGAGGCTGATCGGAATTTATACCTTCGAATAACCAGTTTCGTATTCTTATTACAGCATTACTACAGTTGTGCCTTGTTTACTTCCTCTCTCTCTCTCTCTCTCTCTCTCTCTCTCTCTGTAAACATTCTCAGTTTTTATATTTCCGCATTTTCGTTTTCATTGTTTCGGTGTAATTGGTATCAAAGCTTGAACATCGAGCTTGGCCTCCATTGTAAGTATATTACAGTATTCTTATTACAGCATTACTACAGTTGTGTCTTGTTTACTGTTATAAATCTCATATGTTTGATTACAGTTTAAAGCCCATATTATCCTGTTATAGCTTCTTATGTCTGTGTGACTGTTTAAAGCTTTTAAAAGGATTCTCTGGTTTTAGGCACCTTAACAGAAATCAAAAGGTCTTAAGAACCATTAATTGTTTCTCATGGCACAATCTACCTCTGTATTCTAAAAACATTACAAATAATTGTCAAATGACAACACATCCACATTATTTTCTCAATTTGCATAGCTTTTCTTACTCTCATATTCATTTTCATATTTTTCTAAAAAATTTCAAAGTCAAAAGTATACTCGATAGTAATTCTGATATCATCACATTTCTGCATACGTTTCTACGGGGTAATTGGTAATCAAAAATAGTGATGCACAAATCTACTACATATATGAATTAAATGTGTGTGCATGTGTCTATGTATGCATGCACATAAATACATTTTTAGGGTTCCATAATCGATAATATAAGATCAAATAAAAACGTTGGTAAGGATTTAATTCGCGACCAAATAATGAATCTTTTGGTCAAATAATTAAGTGAAAAAACCCTAACATTCATCAAATTCTCATGAAAACAAGATACGACTATAGTGATCAGAATCAAAACCCTAGGGAACAAAAAAAAATTTTAAATTGCTCTGAAACTCCTCCGAACAATACCACAGAAAATTTTAAAGATTGACGATTCGTTACCTTACTTAACCAAAGGCTAATGATTCACTTCAATGGCTCTGAACCTCCTCCGACAACACCACAGAAAATCCAAACGCTTCTTGAGCTACAGTCGAGGCAAAGATCCTCTCGCTCTCTCTCTCTCTCTATCTATATATGATTTTTCGATAAAACGACATCGTCTAGAAACGGGCCTGACGTCCTCTGTCCAACAACAACCCAGTGTGATGACTAATGGGATAAACACCTATTCAGCCCAAAAGTTGGGACTGGACTTGCAAAACAGTCTTGGAGGACTGGTCAACAGATTATATAGAAAAAATAATATTTATTTATAAATTTTATAATACACATCATAAAAAAATATATATTTATTAAATAGTTTTGTGTTTGTTATTGAAAAGATATGAAAAATATCTATGTATATATTCAAATTGTTGTGTAACTAATATCAAAAACACCTAATTGGTGTCTTAATAATGTTTTCTCACGGTAGCGGTAAACATTATTAAAAAAAAAAAACTCAAGTTGGCTTTTTTAAAAAAGTCATTTGTTTCTCAATCTTACACCACTCCAAAATTTTTGTAACAAATTTTACGTTTATCAAACATGTTTGCAATCACAACTAAATAATATTATTTATGTTTCAGATTAAACAAAAACATAAAACAAAAATTGTTGCCAAAATAGACCCTTAGAATTTCACTCTTTTTTAAATGATTTTAAGGGTTTGGTCATTCATCTAGGCACTTGACTTGCAACAGTAATATTAAAATCAAATGAAACTTGAATTGCAAGGGTAATAAGTTTATTGATGAGCCCATTCTACTTTATAAAATCAAATAAAACTTGTAATATCCTAATCTGTAGTGTATTTTTTCAATCCATATTTATGAGGTGTGACAAGTCGAAATGGCCAATTTTAAGAACTAAGAATATATTAAAATTTATGTAATTGAACCTTTTTCTATGCAGTAGTCGTACTTAATAATGATATCAGTATATAAAAATGATTCATTTAATAGGACTTGGATTTGGATTTGAAAAATAAAAAATAAAAAATAAGAATTTGGACCTAAATTAGTCCATTGTCAGCTAGTAGCACATTCGACTCCACCTTTGCCTTGTGATCACAACATAGCCATGAACCATCTTCATCCGCTTTTCTTTTTCTTTTTTTTTTTCTTGTTTTTTTGTATCTTGACAATTTTAATTCACATGTTTATTTTTAAAAAATAATAATAATTTGAATCTTCTATTTTTAAAAAAAAAAAATTAGGACTTAGGCGGGTTGGGCAGGCCAAGGGGTTAGCCCACGCCAAATTCAAGGCTCTAACACCTCAGCATGCGCAAAGCCAAAGTTCCAAAGAATTTTCTAGTCCTCGGGTCATCCCAAATTGTAATATCGTACAAAGAAATAAATATTAATTTTTTTTGTTTTTTGATTAGAGTATGTAACTACGTACACTTAAAATAAAATAAAAACACTAATATGATGAGACAAAATTTTATTTATTATTTGGAAACTAGTGGAACATGATAAAATTCCTTCTTATTAGAATATGGAAAGAACTCAAATCAGATAACCCTTATTATTTTGTTTTCTTAACTAAAATTCAATTACCATAATTTTTTTACTTGAAAATTTTAAAGCTAGTGTGTCTAAGTTAGGTGAATATCTATTATAAATATTAAATAATTTTATTTTACATAAGCAATGTATAACATTAAAAATATAAAAATTATATAGTTTTCTTGTATTTTGGGTTCCTTGGTTGCTTGGGTCAATAAAACATTTGTTCAAATCCCACCCAAAATAAATTCGGGTTCTAAAATTTACACCCAGTCCGGTCCCATGGTTCCAAGTACCTTGCCCATGCTCGTGAAATTTTCGGGCGAGACTCTAGTTGCTTAGGTTACGCCCACCCAAGTCCCAACCTTAGTCTTTAATTCTATTGTGGGAAGGACCGGAAGGTAATGCAAAAAGCTCTATGTACACATCTCTTAATTATTACTTCGTATAAAGTTATAAGTACCATATTATTCGAATTATTGGATTACTCTTCGTATTTGGGAGTCTGTTTGAGCTTTGTATATTTCTTCTCCTCTTTAACAACTAATCACTAATTATGCGAGTCCTTATTCCCAAATGAACATTTTTTTTTTTTTTTTCTGCACGAAGGGAATATAAAGTTACAAGTGTGATATTATTCGAATGGTTGACGGATGTGGACTGTATGTTCAACAGATTCATCCCTAGTTAAATTTTTTTTTTTTTTTCCCTTCACCTAGCAATGGTTAGCAGGGTTAGGAGTTAGTAGTTAGTGGGAGAAGAGAAGGAATTAGTAATTAGTATACCAATGGGCCTAGCGATATCAGTCTCTTACTTTTCAAAGGAAGATCAGAGGTTCAAGTTTCGAAAAAGATATGTGTATGTAAATACCAACTAAAAAAAAAATAGTAATTAGTAGTATGAATGACTCGAATATTGCACTCATACCAACTCACGAGGCTCGCCCACCACCCAGGCACATCCATCCCTTAGATAAGTCCAACTCCGTTGTCATGTTGCCATGGTTGACCTACCTGGCTAAAATTTAATTGATGTATCAACTTTACAAAAAAAAAAAAAAGAATGTATCAATAATTATTTAAAAGAAGAGTAATTGTAACAATGAAATGACCATTGTGATCACAACATGACCATGGACCATCTTCATGCAGTCACACCGGCAAATCTATGGGTATTTACGGTTGAGCCCTTCGAGTACATTGAGTCCTTTTTTTATTTTTATTTTATATATATTTTTTATCTTGACAATTACTCATATTTATTATTTACAAAAATAAAATTTAAATTTTTTACACTTTTCCATGCCTTAGTTGAACCATCATCCCTTAATTATTATAGAATTATAAGTGTTGTGATAACCCAAATGGTTGTATTGCTTCTCATATCCGGAAGTTCGTATTTGAGTCTTGCATAGTCTCTCTCATCTTTAATATTCTTGTCCTAAAAATATAAAGAGAGATAGAGAGAGTGTGTTATACCAAGACAATCATGTAATCTCCTTGTCAAATCTAACTCGTCTAAACCATGAAAATGGATGTCGACCATGTGATCAACAATATAAATCCATCCCAAGTTAAGTCCCATTCCATTGTCATGGTGACCTAATCGTAAAAAATTCAAGAGGTGTATCAAAAATTATTTAAAAGAATAATAATGATAGAAAATTCGATAATTAGACAAATTCGACTAATTATATGTGAATAGAAATTAATGTTTTTATAATGACGTCAGTCCTTATTCACATAAATCAGTATAAATTGTAGAAATTAATGTTTTTATAATAGCATAATAATGACGTCAGTCCTTATTTACACAAATCAATGTAAATTGTCCGATCTTCAAATTCAAAATCATTATCCTAACACCGACTCTAAGTAGCATCTAATGTAAGACATAAGTCTACGTGAACTCATTCAATGACTAAAATCAAATATTCGTGACTTGTCACACTACTCAAATGTAGCAAGAAAGATTGTTCCATAGTTTTTGTCTCTTTCGATATCACAATGACATGGTGAACCTGACCAGTCAAGATTAGCATTCATTTGTCAAGTTTGAAAAATTAAATTTTTATTAATATGACATAAACTATAATGTACAAAATATAAATATCCACAATGCGACAGATATAGTGGACCTAAAATGTGAGAGAGAGAAATAAATTCGCCAATAATCGACACCATGTGAGTATATCCCACTAACTTTTGAAATAAGTGACAACAGCTTATTAAAGGCAAATTGATCACATCTTATATCATGTTATTTAAACTTTTCTATCTCATGGTCACATGAAAATGACATCCACGAACCCACTCAATAAAATTTCAACGAACTTGACCCACCATTAAATTGTAGCGCCCTTTTTAGTACCTGCAAGCTTTACAGCACCTAGGGCATAATCATTGTCTATTAAGGCAACAATGTGTTAGATATCACGTTGATAGACCATTATTTTTTTTATTTTTTTTATTATTATTATTTTTATGTGAAAGTGGTGAAACCATTAATTTTAATTAAGTATGCTCACACTTAAATAAATTAATAACAAAAGTATGAGAAAAAAAGAAAAGAAAAATGATGAAAAATAAATTAATAACAAAAGTATGAGAAATAAAACAAGAAATTTATAACCCATGCAGGTCTTGAACCTATAATATTCGCGTTATTAGCATGATGCTCTAACCAGCTGACCTAATAGGCCAACTTATGATTATAATATCTCTTTATATCAATTAAAATCAATTCCGTTAGACTTTGTACTGTCTAACAAGTTAAACAATCAAGGAATTTCAAAAAGACTTGAAATCTACACCAAATGTGAAACTCTATAGCATTTCTTAAAACCAATCTCAATTAAAGTATACTCGATTTCAGTCTTGATCAACATTGGCATAACAAAATCATATCTTAAAGGTTCAAAATATTATTTGGAATCCGAATTCACTTTTTTTTTTTTCTTTCTAGTTGGTACTCACACATACTTGTTTTTTATGAAACTTGAACCCCTAACCTCTCTTTGGAAGGTAAAAGACTGATACCACTAGGCCATTACCCGTTAGTGAATTATAATTCACTTATTATACCTTTCGATTTTGAATTGACTCAACTCAGTCAATTTTTGCCAAATTGCACAAATTAGGATTTTGGGCACATAGTGATTCCGATTTTTGCTTCAATCACTATCTAATCGTCATGAAATCCTAAAACTAACACTTTCAAATTAAAATTCAAGTCATTTATCCTTAGGTTAATCATAAACACCTTTCCATCGGGTTACTTTTATCGTTTGATCTTACAGAATGACAAAAAAGCCATCTGATCGCCTCTAGAGCTTCTGGAATGCTCAACAAGCAACCCAAAACTGAGTTTTTAACTCCAAAAAGTCTAAATAAATATAAAAATGACCAATTTCAATGTAAAAAGTAGGGCTGCAAATGAGTCGAGCCGAGCTTTGGGTTGTTCGGGCTCGACTAGTCATCTTTGGAGAGGTGCTCGGGCTCGGCTCGGGCTCGGGCTCGGGCTCGGGCTCGGTTGAGTTTCATGAAGCTCGGGCTCGGCTCGGCTCGGGCTTGTTTATATACACCCTCCAAATTTGCTTCCCAACTGTGCCTTCTATGCATAAAGAAGATGTATCGATTCAACCAAAAAAACAGAGATGGTTAGAGATTCGGAGAACGTATTTCTACTAAGATCTGTAACTATAAAATTTTCCATAAAAGGCAGAAGGCAGCCAAGAACCAGAGCATCTGCAATTTTTTTTTAATTTTTTCTGCTAAAATTTCAATATACTCAAGTAAAAGAATGAATTCCAGATTCAAGAAAGTAACTAATCACTTACATGATATCACATCTAAATCTCCAAGAAAAAAAACAAAATACAAAAAAAAAAATTAAAAATTTTCCATAGAAGGCAGAAGGCAGCCAAGAACCAGAGCATCTGCAATTTTTTTTTTTTTTTTTTTCTGCTAAAATTTCAATACACTCAAGTAGAAGAATGAATTCCAGATTCAAGAAAGTAACTAATCACTTACATGAGATCATATCTAAATCTCCAAGAAAAAAACGAAATACAAAAAAAAAAAGATTAAAAAATAAATAAAGAACAATTTTTCAAAATAAAAATCAAATATTACCAGGTTTCCATACTATAGTTCCACCTTAAGATCCCTTTGAGAGATAGCTAGGTGGCTTGTGGATTGATGTTGGCAGAATTTAGGTTGGTGTTGATTAGAGAGACAGAGACAGAGAGAGAGAGCTGGCTTATGCGTTTGTGTCTTGTGGAGAGTGTAGTCGGTAGACTATGTGGTTGGAGTGTTTTTAGGGTTTAATTTAATGGTGAGATGTGGGTGAAAGGATTTAAGTTGGGGTTGATAAATGAAGAGATTTAAGTTGGGCCTGATTAATAAAAAGATGTGGGTTGGGCCTGATTAATATGCATATATATATATTTATATATAACGAGCTTGATACGAGCCTTGTTCACGAGCCTTAACGAGCCCATGTTCACGAGCCTATGCGAGCCGAGCCCAACGTTGTTCGGGCTCGGCTCGTTTACTAAACGAGCTTATAAATTGAGCTCGAGCTCGGTTCATTTGCTTAATGAACGAGCCCGAGCCCGAGCCGAGCACTTAGCGAGCCGAGCCCGAGCTGTTCATGAACAGCTCGGCTCATTTGCAGCCCTAGTAAAAAGTAAGCTATGCAAAAAAGAGTAGGAAAAATGAATTATTGCACCACAGGGTACGACACGTAAAAAATAAAAAATAAATAAAAAGAAAAGAAAGTGCCTATCTTCTATGCCGCAATTTTCAAAAGTTTTGAAATAGTTCACCATTGGTCCAAAAAGTCTATAAATACGCCCTCCACCTCCAAAATTTTGACCTACAATCCTACATATACTGACCTCCCTACTTAAATAAATTAAGTCTAAGCCTCTTTGCAGAGTTTAGACATTCCTCACTCAAGTGCAAGCGTTTAAACTAACAATCTTATCTCCAATTCTCCCTTAAAGAGTAAGGAAGAGGTCAAGACCCTGTATTGAAGAATCAACTTTCAATATACAAGAAGGATTCTTGTTGATGCAAGATTTTGCATCGATCGGGAACGATATCGTATCTACAAAGAAGGAAAAAGTAATCGAAAGGGCACTGGTGTGGTACCAGCCAAACGGTCTCCGATAATCAAGACAATACTTCGATTACTTTTTTTTTTTTTTTTATAGATACAACGTCATTCCCAGTCGTTGTAGAAATCTTGCATCAACACTTCTAACTCTAATTTCGCTTTAAAGAGGTAGGCCTTCTATACTATTTTTTTTCTCTTCACTTCCCTTCCCATTTACCTTTTTTCCCTCTTTCACATACATATCTCTCCATCTTCTATGGTTCTACCTACATTTTTTTTATTGCATCATTTTGGCCCATGTATGTATGAAAATACTTCCACTTGCTTGACCCTCCTCCATCACAGGCTTCGATAATGCTAAATCCAACTAGTGGTAACAACAATATCGTGCAGTATGTTGAGGAGGGAAAGGTAGGACGGTAGGTGTTTTCCTTTAACCTATCTAGATTGAAGAAGGCTCGAAATGTTGTCTAATCAAGGGCCGATGGAGCTTGATCTCGAACAACGATTTGAAGATCTTCACAGAAGAACAACACTTGTGTGCGCGTGCTATTTGTTGTGTCTTTAAAATTTCAATGGTTGTATGAATTAGGATTTGTTTGGATACATAGGAAAAGAAAAGAAAAAAAATGATAGTATTAGTTATGAGAGAAAAGAATAAAAAAGATAACAATAATTTATATTTATATTTGGATAGATAGAAGACAAAAAAAAATAAATGATAATATTCTTGTTTGGATTTGATAATGGGTAGAAAAGAAGAGAAATGATAACAACTAAATTATTATCGTATCCTTTTAAATAGAATGGATATCGGTGAAATAATAATTTTTTCTTTTTAATTATTGAGGACTGTTCCGGGATTATAAAAATATTACTTAGACACTATATTTTCTCTCCTTATCTTCTCATTTTTGAAGAGATAGAAAATGAAAATGAGCAGTAATTATTGAATACCCCGGGGATATGGTACCCCGGGGCATCCCAACCCTTAAATGTGGTGGGACCCACCACCACCACATCGATAATCCAATGGCTCTCACTACCCCCGAATATTCAATAATTTCTCGAATATGAGAGATAAGAAGGAATAACTTTCTCCCCTTATCATTCTTTTCTCTTATTTTAAATTATCCAAACACATTAAACCCTATTATTTCTTTTCTTTCCCAATTCCTTCAAATCATTCCGTCCAAACCCAATCTTATTTAGAGATTCCGCGAAGCTTTAGCCGCCATTTAACTTATTTGTCCATGTCTGTGCATATATCTCTGAAATTGTTATATTAATAGGTCATATAGAGTGTTACATAAGTATAACACTACTACATGAATTTTATTCTCAATGCAGTGAGTTGGGTTTTTTCATATAAATGCACAAGATCATTGAAGATCATCACTGTCACATCAAACTGAATGTATATTTTTTTTTTCGGAAATTAAACTGAATGTATATTGTGTAATAGTGAGATATAGGTGATGCTGTAACGTATAAATATATTAAAATTTGATTGAAAATAAAAACAAAACAAGAAGAAAAACTTTAAATACTCCGTAACATAATAAGTAGGGCCAAACAAACATTGGACCCACCATTGTCTTGCGGGGCTTTGTTGCTTATCCCCTCAAGTCTCTCCACCACAGTGGCAAAATGACAATTGGGCCCACCACTCGAACGGTTAAAAAAATAATAAATTTCATTAAAAACATGCCTGAAAACCACTAGGAGTAGTATTTATTCATTTCAATGTCCATATTCACCGTCCCTTCACTAGCTGTGGCAGCTGTGAGCCACTCTCAGAGAGATTTTGCTTCACAAGTCAAAACCCTTCTGTTTCTTCACGAGAACTTTCTGTTCTTTCATCAACAACACAGTTCCTTTTGCTCTACCGACACTGCCACTCAATCCTAATCTTCATACAATTTCAAACAACCCATTAATTTCCACATAATATATATATATATATATGTACATATATGTATAGAGAGAAGCAAATCCTTCACTTTCTCTCTCTAGCTTTCCCCATCTCCTTCAATTCTCCTCATCCCTTCTTTTAATTTTGCATATTGGGTTCTTCTGCAAATACCCATCTCCAAAATGCTCCACTTTCTCTCTCTAGCACTCTCTATCTTCCAGTTTTCATCTCTTTGTATGTCAAAATCCATTTTTTGAGTTCATTTTCTGAGTGTCTTTAAGTTCTCCGTCAATGGATGCTAGAATTGTTCACTTTCTCTCTCTAATTTTCTCTCTCATCCACTTTTCACACCTTCATCTCTCAATGGCTTTCACGCCACGAGACAATTTCCTCATCGACTGTGGATCAAACACAAACATAACCGTCGACAACAGAGTCTTCATCGGCGATTTGACGACACCCGGTTCGGCTTATCTCTCTACAGGTAAGTCCATCTCTGTAACAAGCACAAACCCATCTTCAAATTCAACTCGAATTTACCACACTGCTAGGGTTTTCGCGGCTGCTTCGAGCTATGGATTCAGCATAAAGAAATTTGGGACCCACTTGGTACGTCTCCATTTCTCTCCATTCACTGCTCAGAATTACAATCTCAGTAATGCTAAATTTAGCGTTTCGGCTAATGGGTTTTCGCTTTTAAACAATTTTGGTATTCAATACACTGTTGTTAAAGAGTTCATGTTGATGGTGGATGTGGTAAATTTTGAAATAATGTTTGTGCCTACAAATGATTCGGGTTTTGCATTTGTTAATGCAATTGAGGTGTTCTTAGCTCCTGATGATCTCATTGTTGATAATGGGGCTAAATTTATTTGTCCTAATGGCATTGAAGAGTTTAAGAACCTTTCATCACAAATTTTAGAAACTGTTCATAGGATCAATGTTGGAGGTCCAAAATTGACCCCTTTTAATGACACTCTTTGGAGGACTTGGGTTCCTGATGAAAATTTCTTAGTTCTGAAACCTGCTGCAAAAATTGCGAGAACCACGAATCCACCAAAGTATCTAAATGGGGGTGCGAGCAGAGAGGTTGCTCCCGATAATGTTTATATGACTGCACAGCAGTTGAATAGGGATAACTTGACATTAGATTCAATATTCAATATAACATGGAATTTTCCGGTTGATGGGGGGTTTGCTCGGCACTTTGTCCGGTTGCATTTCTGTGACTTTGTTAGTCCTTCGCTTAATCAGCTATACTTCAACGTGTATATCAACGGGCTCATGGCTTACAAAGATCTTGACCTGTCTACCCTTACAGTCCATTCGCTTGCATCTCCTTACTACATTGATTTTGTTGCGGATTCTGATCATTCAGGAGTTGTGCGGATAAGTGTTGGCCCTTCTGATTTGAGTAGTCCTTCAAAAAAGAATGCTATTTTAAATGGGGTAGAGATCATGAAGATGGTGAATTTTGTGGGTATAGGTACAGGGTCAAAGAAGATTAGTAGTTGGTTTTTGGTGGGTTTGATTCTTGGAGGCGTTGCTGCTTTGTGTTTGGCAATACTTTCAGTTTTGGTTCTACTGAGATGCAGGAGGAAGAAACCGAAACCTGCAGAAAGTATGGGTTGGACACCCTTACGTGTATATGCAGGCAGTTCACTTAGTAGACACTCTGAAGGGACTGTGATTGCATCCCCTGGCCCGAATGGGTATCTCAGCTTGAGGATCCCTTTTGCTGATGTACAAGTGGCAACAAACAATTTTGACAAGAATCTGATTATTGGTTCTGGTGGATTTGGCATGGTTTACAAAGGGGTTCTTCAGAACAACATGAAGGTTGCTGTGAAGCGAGGTGTACCAGGATCCAGGCAGGGCCTACCCGAATTCCAGACTGAAATAACAGTTCTGTCAAAAATTCGCCACCGTCACCTTGTTTCACTTGTTGGGTATTGTGAAGAACAGTCAGAAATGATACTTGTTTATGAATATATGGAGAAAGGGCCATTGAAAAGTCATCTATATGGTAAAGGATTACCTCCTTTGTCATGGAAGCAGAGGCTTGAGATATGCATTGGTGCGGCAAGAGGCCTTCACTACCTTCATACGGGTTCAGCACAAGGAATTATCCATCGTGACATTAAATCAACCAATATCTTGCTTGATGAGAATTATGTTGCTAAGGTTGCAGATTTTGGTCTCTCGAGGTCTGGTCCTTGTCTCAATGAGACCCATGTAAGCACAGGTGTAAAAGGTAGTTTTGGGTATCTCGATCCGGAGTATTTCAGGAGGCAGCAGCTTACAGATAAATCAGATGTTTATTCTTTTGGTGTTGTGCTTTTGGAAGTTCTTTGTGCTAGACCTGCTGTTGACCCCAATGTCGCGAGGGAGCAGGTGAATTTGGCTGAATGGGCAATCCAGTGGCAGAAGAAGGGGCTGCTTGAGCAGATCATTGATCCCCATCTCGTGGGTAAGATAAAACCGAGCTCTTTGAAGAAATTTGGAGAAACAGCGGAGAAATGTTTGGCTGATTATGGCGTCGATAGGCCGACTATGGGTGATGTGTTATGGAATTTGGAATATGCACTACAACTGCAGGAGACCGGAAGGCGAAGAGAACCTCATGAAAATGGTGATGTCACTGCACCAGAGCTCCCGGCTCCTAGAGTTGTTCTCAGAGATCCCTCTAGCAACAATGGGATTCAGGAAGATAATGGTGATGGGACTACTGACACAACAACAACAGACCAAGTCTTTTCCCAATTGATGACCAATGAAGGTAGATAGTTCATAGGTTTATACAGTAAAATAAGCAATTCCCACTGTATCTCAACATCAGCTCATTGCTCGAAACTTCTGCGAAACATACTGGAGGTATCAATATAGTTTAGCTTTCTGTTTTTCATTTTTATTTTATGTTTTCATTTTGTTGCTACTAATGTTTCCTTATTATTGTAGTTTTTATATAGAATATTAATGGATCTCTTAGGCTGATATTTTAGTCATTGTAATGTTTACATTACCAAACAAATATAATCATTATTTATTGGAACACCCTGTTTTGCATATATTATCACATGTGCAAATCCGAATTCAGTATCTGATTTTCCCCCTGAAAATGGCATCATTCCTTTAGATTTGATGGAAAGTCCTCATCCTTAACTTTTATCTTTCCTTATGTCGGCTGTGTATTGACTTTGTATCCGTAGGTGATAACCATTGACTTTGATCTTTGATTTTCTTGTGTGTGCGCGCGCGTGTGTAGGGAATATTCGTAATGGTCCTCAATCATTAGTACTTTTATCAACAAAATATTGCTGGCAAGATTATTACAGTTACTGTCGATTATTACTGTTACTGTTAATAATGATCCTCCTAGTTTGGAGCTACATTTGATTCTTGTTATTGTTTTGCCCAGAATGATCCTTGTTTTTGTCTACTAAGACATGATAGAGCATACGAGGCGTTTCCTTTTAAACATGAGATAACTTTCAATGATGCAAGTTTGCATATCATTAAAAAACAAAATGTTCTTTATATTGAAAGCCTTGAAGGGGTATGAAGTTGCTGTTCTATATTTAAACTAGAATAGTATTCAGCCATTAAAATCCAAAATAAAGAAGAAAAAGAGAGAAACAAAATTGTTCTTATATTATTCTAAATTATGCAAAAAATGCTCACTGATATGTAGATTCTCTTTATCGTCTATAATGATAGTCCGTGACCACTAAGATACAACTGATCCTTTTTTCTTCAATGAAAAATCTGCTGACATTTTTTTTGTCTGTGTCAGAGTTTTGTTTACAAATGTTTGAAATATTAGAAGAAAAAGGGTAACCTATGTTGACTCTTCAAAGTAGGTGAAGTATCTTGTCTCGGTCTTGGACACGGGAATGTGAAATGTGTAGGACAATTTTGGTTGGAAATAATTTAATTTTATTATATTATTCCTTCAAAATGAGTGAAATACTTAAATTAGACACGGTCACATAAAGGCATTATTTTACTCTAAAAAATTAAAATAATATGTTAAATAATATGAATATTTAGCAGTGTCAACGTATCCTATTTGAGGTTTTGACACATCCGATTCATGTGTAACATATCTTTACTTGACGCACGTATCTCGGTTGCAGGTAACATATCCATACAGGAACCTGTTATGTAAATCAAACTGCTCCATGTGTAATTTTCATAGGAGTCTTTTGTTACAATGAATGCGACTTTTTTTTTTTTTTCATTGGCAAAAACACGCTCGCACACCCGATCTTATTTTATAATTATTGAGTACCTTTTATTCATTTTAATAACCTCTTGTGGACTTGTAGGTTGAATTGCTATGGAAAACTACTGATGCCATTCATTTTTCAGGGGAATTTCCATTAGCATATGCACTGAAACTCACATTGTATTCACACACATATATGAAAAGCTTGAAGTATTAAAGCAGCAGCAGTACATTTTCCAGAACACTACTAATGTGGACAATGCTAACCCATTCATTTTGGGGGGCCCTTGTGAAGCTGGACCTTAGGGATTTGCTGCTAATAATACACAGATTACACACACTACACACACTACAGGGATTCCACTAAGGAGGAGGTGAGTGAGATGGGAAGAGATGGCCGGCCACCCACTAAAGAGTGTGGGGCCTTTATGTTGTCGACTATCTTGTTTTTTATGGCCTCTCTTTTGATTGGGTTTAATTCTACTTAAACCTCTTGTACTGTCGTTTTGTGGTGCACAATTCTTCTAAATTAGGAGGACTTATTTGTCAAAATTATAGTTCAGTGGACTTCTGCGCCACAAAACGATGCTCATGGGTTAACTGCAATTAAAGTCACAATATAACATAGGAAAAAACATAAAATTAAAAATTGACATTTTTTTTATGTTATGGGCTTAAAATATTTTCATTTTTACCTTCTTGTTTTGTTATTATTATTATTAATGTCTAAGTAAATCCAGATAATAATAAGATAATGGGAACTAATAATCTGTATGTATATTATACTATATAATAAGTAAATATATATATTTATATCATGATTCGGTTTAGTTAGGTTTTGTGGTATATTTTTTGAATCAAGACAAGACCAAATTGTGAAAATGTCGAGCCAAACCGAATGGTCCTGTTTAATGGTCAGTTTAGTCCGATTCAATCGGTTTTTTTGTACACCCTTGCATAAAAGTGAATTTTGTATTTGGTCAAATTAAAAAAAAAAAAAAAAAATTCGGGGCAACAATGGTGAATTTGCTAAACAGAGGTGGTAATTGCAAATTATTTTTAGTCTATTAACAAATTTTTAAGTGTTCATGCATGAATACCCAAAACAAATGAAAAAATATCAAGGAAGAAATTATTGGTACTATGAGTGTCAAGTCATATAATGTGATTTGAACAAACTGTGAGCGAAATATTGACAGTGAAAACCAAAGTGATTCGAATTTGTGAGCCATCTAAATGGCATTTTATGATTGCACAATATCAGGTAATCACCGTTGATCTTTAATTCTATGGATTTTGTTTGTACACTCCTTATATAAAGTAAATTGTGTTTGATCAAGATTCTGTATGTTTTGGATGTAAAATATTTTTTTTATTTTTTATTATTTGATTGTCGTAATATATTTATAAAAAAATATATTAAAATTTAATAATAATAATTTATTCATTAATTTTCAGCAAGTTATTTTACACATTTGGATATATGGAATCTATCCTAACTTTAACCTAAACCTTTACCAAATACTGAAAATATAAAAATAAAAATATTTTAACTAATAAAAAAAAAATCTTTTTCAATAAAAACATTTTATGTGGAACCCAAATTAAAAATAAAAATTAGGGACAAATACCACTACTTTAGATTTGCTAAGAGGTTGAAGATGAAGTTGGGCCAAGAAAAACATTTTATGTGGAACCCAAATTAAAAAAAAAGTTAGGGACAAATACCACTTCGTTAGATTCACTAAGAGGTTGAAGATCAAGTTGGGCCTATTAAATTTGATTTACCCAATCAGATTTTATTTTATTTTTGTCTACATGTTTATTGTTTACAATAATTATTAAGTTGTTCCTGAAACTGGTGACTCAACTTTTGTGTGTGTGTGTGCGTGTGGTGACTCAACTTTTGTGTGTGTGTGTGCGTGTGTGTGAGAGAGAGAGAGAGAATCGCGGTTCATTCTCGCAATCTTCTTCTTCTCCCAAACACCCCTTTTGACTCTTCATCTCCATCACATCTCTCTCCCCAGTAAATTTCAGACTTTCGTCAGCATTTTCATAGGTTTGACTTCTTACAAACAAAATTAACTGTTTTTCCTTGGAAATAAAATATAATTAACTAAAAATATCATCCCAATAGAACATAAAACAATCAATCATCCCATAAACACTTTTTTGCACTTTAAATTAGACAAACAATGGAGCTCGAAAGAACACTCCCATGACACGAGCTCATAAATTTATTAACAAAATTGTTTTATCTTTTACCATCTCAAAACTATTTCAATTTAGTGATTAATAAAAAAATAATTCATGCTCTTGTCATGACACGACTCTCTTTATACCATTAATACTCTTAAAAAACAGTAAGCACCAAAAGTATGTTAAATTCACAATTTAAACAGACATATCAAACCTTTAGACATTTAGAATGCATCATTTCATAAAGTTAGGCTAGTATGATTAAAACATTGAGAATTAAAACTCTCTTTAATTCACACAAAGTAAGAGCGGGAACGATTGCAAGAGTGGGAGCACGAAAACGATAAAATTTAAGCCACGCATAACGTGAGAGCGACACCCATTTGATCCGATAATTCGAATATGAATTGAACCATTCAATTCCATAATCAATGAGTAATTTGAATCCAATAATCCATTAGCTAAGCAATCTAAATATAAATTATGATTAATCCGATTTCATGTATTTTAATACATAATATGTTATAAATATAGTATCTAATTAATGCTATAATATATTATACTTACATATTATTAAAATATTTTTTTATCATGATTGTTTTTTATTTTTCTTCCCTCTCTCTATGTTTTCTCCTTTAATAAAAATTCAAATTCCTAATTTTCTACACTTTTTTTTTTGGTTTATATTTTAATATTTTTTCTCCAACCTTTTTTTTTCCCTAATCATTATGAGTTAATTTTGTTAACGTTTAAATTTTTACTAAAGTTATATCTTCTTTATAAAATTGAATATCTAACTAATAATAAATCAAATATAAATTTAATCATAAATAATTAGTTGAATTGTCCCGTCAATAACACTAAATTTCTTTTAATTTTAAATTTAAAAAAAGAAAATTATTGTATGTGTTATACCGTATAACTAGCGCATCAAAATCGTTTGTGTAATACAAGTGTCCATCTATTAGTATATCTCGTACATTCGGGTACGTGACAATTTGTAATTTTTGAACCGACGTGAATTTGATTAGTTTACCGCCTAGGGTAGATATGGAAGAGCAGTCAATGAGAAGAAGGGCAGTATCGTCATTCCACACTAAAGAAAGGTTCCCTAACTTGTCGGTATTAGCCGTTAAATGATGGCGTGCGCGTCTACGTGGGCCACCTTATCCAACTCAGACCAAATCATCACTCTAACTTGGCATTAAACACAGTTCTAAACTCCCAACTAGTACTTACATTTCCGTAATTTCACTCCAACTCTTTTGACCCTCATTCACAACGCTCCGTTATTTCGATAAGATTTGAAAAAATAGAATCACATCTCAGGTTCGTTTTGGGGCTTCAAAATTCGAAACAAAACCGTATTAGCCGCGAGAGAGAGAGAGAGAGAGAGAGAGAGAATTTAGCAAATCGAGACAACTATCAAATTAGTTTACAGTAGTTTTATACAGTGACAGCCAAAAAGAAGAAGAAAAGTAGAAACTGATGAGAGTTCTCGTTTTTGTAAATCATGATTATGTTGTTTCTTGATTCTTGATTGATTTCCAATTGAATCATTTCTTCTTTAGATATAGAATCATAGATAGATACAGAGTTATATATATATAGAGAGAGAGATAGAGAGAGAGAGAGAGAGGAGTTTAGGGTTTTCGGATCAATTTTTAGAGAGAGGAAGTTGGGGATTTGAAGATGACGGAGGTGGTCCTCCACATATACGATGTGACGAATAGTGGTTCAGATAAGACCAACAACACCATTGTTCAGATCAACAAGATCTTTAAAGACGGTATTGGTCTTGGTGGAATCTTCCACAGCGCCGTTCAGGTCTCTCTCTCTCTCCCTTTCTCTCTCTATATAGATTCTTATCTGTATATAACCATCATCATCTCTACATAGATTCTCATCTGTATTTGTATTTTTTTTTTATTCTGTTTCAATTATGGAATGTAGGAATGGACGCCAGATCTAGGGAATTTGTTCCTGTTATTTGGTGTGCTGATGTTAATATGTTGACTTTGCTCAAACGCTTGTGTAACTGTGTTCTTCTTGTTATTTTTTAGCGAGTAAGATGTGTTTTTCCATGGATGACGTGTAAGAACTTTTAATTTGTGTAATCCATAAATTTGTGTACAATTAATCATTCCATTTATTCTGTATATCATTTGTGTATATATCACACATCCAGGGTTCTATAACATGTAAGAACTCATGAGGAGGACCTATTTCTTAAGTCCATCAGGGAAGACTGGAAGTCACAATTAGTAAGAGTAGGGACCCATTCATGTACTTATAACCATACACCACAATTTTTTGCAGATCCCTTGGATTGGTAAAATATAAACTCACATAGAATTGGAAAGCCATATCATAGGTATGCAATTAAACGAATTTGAGGTGCACCAATTTCAACTGGACCGACTCTGACGATAACTACCAATAATCTATAATTTGAATTTATCACTTAATCCTGTCTACTCTCTTATCTTGTTGACTTTAATGATGGAATATTGCTATCAATTCCAATTTTTTCACAGTCATAGAATATAATGTTTATGCTTGACTACGTAAATTGGGATGCACCAGGTCATTAGTTTAAGTTTTGAAAAGCTAATTTTGTATGAAATGATTCTTTGGATTGGATGTACGATATGTGTTCTTATATAAATTATATACTAAAGAGAGTAGCACCTTAAACTTGTCATTGGTCCAATAAAAATTGTAAGCACCCAATCATGGTTATTCATTAAATTTTAAGCATTGTAGGACTTTACATGATTGAAGTACTTAATTTGGCTATATAATATAGATACTTAGTATGAAATTGCATACAAATATGGTCATTTTCTACTTGTATCTTTATCATCCTACCGTGGGACTCCATTTTGTCTTACAATGGAGTTGCCATGTTTCAATAGAATCTCTTAAATTTGGCAGAAAGTCATCTACCTATTGGTGAAAAACCTTCATGTTTGATATGCCTGAAGTTTTTTTACTGCGAATCTTCAATTGAGACATCTTGCCATAAATAAACATTTCTGAAATTTAGATGGCTTAGATATGGAGTGCTAAAGACCAATAATTAGATTAGTGAGGAGGACTAACACAGTCCATTTAAGGATATGTTATGGGAAGGAAAAATGAAGAGCAAAAGTGTTGGGGATGGTGATGAAAGACATGATTGCTCGTGGTTTAACTAAAATTATGACCCTTAGATACAACATACTGGTGGAAAGATGTAGTCTCATGAGAGACAGTTGGATAGTTTTTGTTTTCTTAATCTCACATATTCTGTATAAACGGTGGATAGAGTGAATATGATACCATTGGCCAGTAGAAATGTTTCATGGGAAACCTTGAGATGCTTAAGGCATTGAGAGTGGGCAAAGAAACAGGGAGTGCTTTGGTACTCTGTGATAGGGCTTCAGTACTTTCTGACGAATGCATAGAGCAGGAATTTGGTTACAGTGTTCGATACTTTGATTTAGGAGTTAAATGTTTTTTGTTTTGTAATCTCTGCAAAATACATAAAAGACCATCACTTCTCATCTCTGAACATTAGTGAGCTCGTCAAAAAACATGTATACTGCGTTCTTCTGTGATCTATTTCTTGTTTTTTGTTGAATCCCTGCAAAGGTAGAAAAGTAGCATGATGATTGATGAGAGAGGGGGTTAAAGTTGGCGAGAGCAAGTCAAAGAAATGCTTTCTTTATGAGTTTCATTGGTTTGGAGGGTGAATGAACACCCTTTTGACAAAAATAAAAATAAAAATAAAAATAATAAATATAAAAGTTAAAACAATTTCTCAATATGATAGCATGGATTGAAAGTCTGAAAACTGGCATGCTTTTTTTTTTTTCCTACATAAACTGGCATGCTTACTATCCAACGCTTGGTTGGCCTGTGAAATTGATTATCCTCTTTGACTGATATAACCTTCATCTTGTTTGTTAACTTTCCCAACTCAAATAAATGTTGTCTTGCCTCAACTATTTGGATTGACTAGTTGATAATTTTTATTTATATAAACTTTTCCTCTCTCATTCTTCCCAAGTATACACATTATCTTAGTTTCTCTAATTCAACTTTCTGGTTCTCCCTCTTTTTACCTTTTATTTATTTATTTTCGTTTAATTGTAGCTCTCACTAATTGTAGATTTAATAGCCACTTACCCATTATACTTGTATATCGTTTAAAACAAAAAGAAAACATGAAATTACAAGTTGTTACCTGGTAAGTATCGAGGTACAGAAAGTGTTGTTATCATCAACATATCAGGGTTTCAGGAACATAAATGTAAAATTGTAATGTTTATAATGCAGGCAGAATGGAACCCTTTAACACATCTCTTATGAACACTGTGGACAACACTTCTATTTAACATCGCAATTTCTCGTCTGAATGATACCACTGTTCGAACCTAAGATCTGTTGAATTTTTAAACATTGCTACCAACAGGCTAGGGAACCAAGTGGTTAACATCGCAATTTATTTTGTGACATGAAAAATTACTGCAAATGGCCCATGTAGTGATTGTCGTCGTCACAACTCTTGCTTCCATCACAATCGAATGGGTTGGCAACGTTAATTATTTTCTTCTATTCTTTTATACTGCAGGCCATTTACCATTATATCTAGTTTCCTAAGGTATATTCTTGTTACTTCATCTAGAGTCATTATTGATCTGTCTCTTTGTCTCTGCTTTCTATTTTAATTAATTCTCCTTTTCTTATTGATCCATTTATCGGACTCCTCTGTATATATTTGTATCATCTTAACGAAATCATTTCAGTAACATGTATACATTGTTCTCGAAATGAGAATTTTTCTGTGGATACTTAGTTATATTGGATAATAAAATTGGGGAAGGTACATTTTTTATATGTACTATAGTTTAAATGCTATATGGTTTTCTTATTTATTTTCCAATATTTTAATTAATTAATTTATTTTAGGTTATATTCTTATATAATATATTTCATCAAATTCAGGTTATATCGTTTTTTCCTATCCAAAATTGCATTCGATACATAGTATGGAGATGCAATCCATGATCATGAGTGGCCCTTTAGATTTTCACAAAACCTCAGTGAAACATGTATAATCGTTTCATTCATCCACTGTCCACAATGCTTGCATGTATGTATTTCCCCATTTCTAGATATGACCTTATGTTACTGTTGGTAATATGTGGATTTATAAATTTGTGTTGAATTGAAGTGCATCTAGAGATTTTATGCCTCCTTTTAATTAGATGATAAATGCATTCTGTGATAGGTTTATGGAGACGAAGAATGGTCATTTGGCTTCTGTGATCAAGGCACTGGAGTATTTAGTTGCCCTTCTGGAAAGAATCCAATGTATACATATCGTGAATGCATCATCCTTGGAAGAACAAACTGCTCGATATTCAAGGTCAATCAGATCCTGAGAGAACTTAGTAGAGAGTGGCCTGGTAACTCATACGACTTACTATCCAAAAACTGCAATCACTTCTGTGATGAACTCTGTGAAAGTCTTGGTGTGCCTAAACTTCCTGGTAATTTACTTTCTCCTCTCTGTCTTTCAATGTTCGTGAAACTTTCATTCAAATATTGAGTAGTGCATTCCTTGAATATTTTTTTTGTGCTTATGGGCCCATCCATAAATATGATTTACATCTACTGGTCCTTGTACGTGTGAGGAGCGGTGTTGTTTCTTGGTGCAAGCACAACTGTCCAATAGACAACTTATGGAGTTAACCTGCTTTGAGACATGCAATACAAATTTCAAATGGATGTGGGGCAGACATCCTCCTTTCTTAAGCGACCTGGAATATAATGTGCATGTTTTTATGTTTTCTTTCTTTTGTCTTCTTTTTTCATCTATGGAAGACACGCCATTCTTGAGGCCTGGAATATACCCAGTAATCCTCAGTTGCTTGACTGAATTCACTTGATACTGCCTACTCGGATTTCGATAATTTTTCTCCTAATAATAATATATCAGACCTATCTGCAAGATGAAGTAGAAATAGATATCTGGTGTTTCATCTATGACTTGTTATTTACATTTTTTATTTCTTTTTTGTAAATGTACTTGTATTTTTATGAATTTTTTTTTTTTCCTTTTTTTTTTTTTTTTCAAAAAGAAATCATAAACGAGTAAAATTGTTTACTATGTAATTATTGATCGTTTATATGTTTTCAGCATATGCAATATTGAAAACTGTTCTAATCAATATATAAGTTAGCTTATTTGTAATTATATTAGTTATCACTCTAATTAACTCGTTTATTTATAGTTAATTCATGAACTGCAGCTTTTGTCCTGTGTTCTTTTACCTCTGAGAAAAGAAATTTGGTGTAAAGAGAATATTTCTGGTGGTTGCAATTCACTATGTAGAGCATGTTCTTATAGTTACTGTAACAGGTTGGGTTAACCGCTTTGCCCATGCTGGTGATGCTGCGGTCGAGATAGCAGGAAATACAGCATACAGGGTGAGATGCTTATTCTTTTTTTTAATGTAGCTCCATCTGTGCCTACACTTGTAGTTGCCAAAAGTCAGGTAGTGTCCTGAAAACAAGATTCAATGCCTGTTCTTAGGAAATAATAAAAAGAAAAGAAAAACACGCGCGCGCGCACACACACACATTACTGCTACATGGACACAGTTTGAAATTGTCTACAAGCTGTGTAGGTTGCAGCCAAGATTTTGGTCATGCAGTACTTGACAATTTGTGGATATTTCAACAGCTGTGCATTTTATATTTTGTTGCATTTCCCAACATGCAGTTCTCTGTTCTGATTGATTTTCTGGGTTGCTGCAGCTGAGACAAGCTAAAACAGAGATTGTATCAGCCAGCAAAGTGGCATATCGGTTTCTCGCAAGTGTTACTTCCAGCTCCACTATTGCTTCCAAGTCTCCAGCCAATTCAAATAGAGGTTCCCCTAGATTCCAAGGTACTTGGTTTAAAAACCTCGTTTCTGCTGGTCCCAAACCCTCTGGTAGTTCAGAACTGGAAACCCAGGAGGATGACAAGCCTCAGCAGCAACAGCGACAAGATGCAGAAGCACCCCTGCACCAGAATATACGGCATGATACTTGAGGAAGTATTCCCCTGGCGTACGATTGCCGTGTGTACTATTTTAGAACCTTTTAAACCAATTGATTATTTGTTAATTGTGAATTAGTGTAAAATGTTTACAGACTTTGTTCAACTGTGGAATTTCTTCATTGGAAAAATTGTGCATCTTAAAAGTGTTTTTTTCTCCTCTCGTCTCAACATGACTGACATGATCAAAAGACCATCCACTTTCTGGAAGCTCTAATATGGAATTTTGGACAGGTTTAGTTTATTAAGTGAACATGTTGGTCACTGCGGCTAGAATTGGAAACTCTGCTGGTTATTGTGGTTTTTTCAAGTGTGGTCAGATTCATATCCCTAACATTGAGGATACCTTTATATACATGCACGCATATATATTGTATGTTTGAATGTTTATACCTACCATTTTAAGTCTTTAACATACACTAACCATTCATTGGTCTAGTTTCAGCCTCTAAAAAAGGAAAAAGTTACCCAAACCAGTTTTTGTGTTTATTGACAGTTTTAGATAAGCAAAACTTAAGTTGGATCATGAGGTGCTGACCTCAAAAGTTTGTGAGCGGTAGTGAAGGGTGCCAGGTCTTGAATATTTAAAAAGCGGTATAACCTCTCCTTTCTCAAACGAAAGAAAGTTCGTGTACATGCATTACTTGTCCTACGATTCATGCAGGGTGTGGCAGTGCCGTAAGCATCCTGATACCTGCTATGTCAAATTTAAGGAATTTAGATCAAGCATGAATGTTTTAACTGTGAATCCAATGTGACTACCCAATGTTAAGTATAGGGTTGGTTACTTACAATCTTATGATGATTATTCGATTAAGTAATCTAGCAAAGTAGGTTGTGAAAATTGCTTGGTCGTCGAGACTTTGACTCAACTTATTCTGTATATTTTATTCTAGAAAAGGCCTCTTCCAGTGAACCAGCCTAAAGGATTTAAACAGTTGCTAATCTATTGCTAAAAACTACTACGGGGTCTTTTGGGATCGCCCTGCCACCAACCGACTTTGTTTTCAGAACACTAGGGTTGGACTTTGTCCTCAGAAAGCTACATTGAACCACCTTTCTAATTTTCTACTAGAAAGTAGGTGTTGGGCTCTCGGGTTCAAAGAAGAATTTCAGATTGAACAATCTCAGCCTGGACACTACATTTCAAGGCAAGAATTTCAGATTGAACAATCTCAGCCTTGACACTACATTAAAGGTTTACTCACGAATCAAGTAGGTAATCTCTCACAGTTGACACTTTCATCGGTGTCTGCTCAAAAAAACCACGTAGAATGCAATATGAACATCAGTTTACCCTACATACAAGGAGTTATATATCTGAGTTACTCTTGAGACGAGCAAGGCAGGATATTACACTAATATTAAGTGAAACAATGTAAACGCTGTATGGAGAAGACAACCCCAATTACTACTTTCCCCATATGTTTCAGATTCACTCAAAGAACGAAAGAAAAACTCAGAACAACTGACAGCTAGTGCAAAGAAAATGGAGTTCAGTTGATATTCATAACATGTCCAGCTATTTTGGGGCAACAATAACTCATATCTGTTTCACAGACGTTCAGACTCCTAAGTCCTAGCTCATCATGAAAAGTACAGACTGCTTTAGATTTTGATAAATAATCATCTCAATAATTGAAATGGTGTTGGAAAAAGAATTTCGACCCATGTGAACTTGTTTAGGATGCTTTGTGAAACTAGTCCAAGGAACAAAGTAAAATAATCAAAACTGATTTCGTAAATCTTTATGCATACCAGTTATCACTTCAATAGGGGATAAAATCGACTATGAAATATACAAGAACCACAAGACTTCCAAGTTATACTGATGATGCCATGAAATGGACCTTTTGATCAGATATTCATTGAAATCACTCAGCATATAGAACAGGATATAGTCTATTGTGTCTCATTGTTGTAAGAACCATTCCACAAGAAGATATCAAGCTTTTAGAAGGTGGCCAAACAAACGAGCTTGAAAGCATCTCATCAGAACAATATTAAATTTGGTACAAGCATGATTTTCAATAGATAAGAAGGGCAAATGCAGGGAAAATATATACAGCACATTATTCAGAACCATGACCAAGGCAAAGACACCGAAGTGACCACAACATATATCAGAGTTTACCTTACCCTCTTAACATTCTGTTGAAGGTCAATGTGTCTACATGTGAATCTTCAGCGATTTGGAGTGAGGCAACAGCCTGTGCTGCAATAAGACCCACAGAGACCTCTGTAGCATCCCAACCTCCCTTATCAAAATATGAAGTGTGGAGATCACTCTCAAAAGGAATAGATGAGATTGACCAATCATTATTATCCAAATCATTCCACTTGCAACCGTATCCATGAGCATTAGAAATCCACCTAAGTCCTTCAAGTGAATGTTCTGAGAGGTCTTGATGAGGAAGGGCTAATGTAGTTTCGCCCATAAAGAGGTCAATATTACCAGCACAATCCCAAGGGTTGAACCCTTCATCCTTTTTCAGCATTATCTTACAAGAATCGTCCGAGTCTTCACCTAGTAGGACATGCAGGGCAACTGCTTCAGCAATCGCAGCGCCCTCCTCATCAAGCCTCTGCTGTTCTTCTTTCTTTTTTTGCTTCTTCTTCTCTAGCTCCGAAATGATGGCTGCCGAAGTAGCCAGGGCTTTCTCCAAGCGGCGCTTTTTCTTCTCAGCTTGCTTGATACGATCCAACTCATCCTTCACCTGCTTCTTCTTCACTTTTCTAACACCAGATGGCACTTTAGTACATTCCATGTTATCGAATAACACAAAAAACCCTTCTAAATACGCAATACTGTTTCTGAACTTTTCTTCAAGAAAATTTCTCTAAGACGTATACATTATCTCTATCACTGTTTCTTTTATTATTTGCTTCTCTTAATTTAACACTATAAGTTCTAATTAGTTCCCAACTTGGGAACTAATGTAATGTAAAAATACAAGCAGCTACTCCTACACCCACTCGGGTCTGAAGGAATACCTCATCTTACGAACAATACAATCCCAAACAGAAACAACAGGAGATAGAAGAAGAGAAAATTGATAAGCACTCACAGATAAATCCCTTGGTACCATTCTTCCTAATTTTCCACACCCCTTGCATTTACCCATCTCTAGTACACCAATGGAACAAACAAGCTATTGAAGTTGACAAACAATATTATGTTTTATCCTGGTCAGACAACTCATATGGCCTTCCCTCCTGCAGCAAAATGGGGAAAAAGTCACATCTAATCTGTGAAAAATGGCAGAAAATGAAGACTGATTACAACACACAATACTACACATGTGCAAAATAAAAATCAATATAATCACAATTAAGCTTTACTCCCTCTCACATGCACATCATAGTTCACATCCCACAAGTAAAGAATCATTGGATGAGAACTACCTGAAGCAGTAATGGGATCACTAAAATCCTATAGTCAACCTAATTACACATCAGATCATAAAGCACAAAAATCTAAAAAAAACTTTCAATAGATCTATATTTATAAAAAGTTTACAACTCCAACCAATCGTCGGCGACTCAAAAAAATTCTTGATAAAATACATATTGCATCAAAAACCCAAATGGCCATGCAATGAGCAAAATTACACCCCAATTTTGCATTTTCTCTATTTTTCATAGCTTGAGCTCCAGAATCCAACTAAATAAGGAACTCATCAGTGTCTTGTTCAATAATTAGACTAAACAGAGTATAATTTCAACAGATTTTCAGCAAACAGATAGAGGGCAATCAAAACCCTAAATTGCCATTGAAACTCGGTCAATCCAAATCCCTAAATCATCTAAATTACAAAAAATTCACCCATTAGATCTTTTTATCTTTATTTTTTTTTATTTTATCAAATTGTGTCACAAACCCCAATTCAAATCGTATTCCTATAATTCTTATCAAATGATCCACATAACCCAGATACAGAAACATCATATTATGATACAATTAATCACTCCTAATAGCAAACATCACCAGATCGAAACACACATTCAGATAAACTGCACGAAATCCAACAACAAAACAAAATTTACTAAATTAAGAACAGAGAATGTAAATGATCTGAACCTGATAAAAATGAAGGAAGGAAAGGAAGAAGTCCCCAAGCTTTCACTGTTGTGACGTAACGTAGAGAGAGAGAGAGAGAGAGAGAGAGAGAGAGAGAGAATTAGGGCTTTGTGTTATGGATTGTTGGTGTTTGGATCTGAAAGAAGACTCGGATTTTTAACTGATCACATGAGATTGACGGTGAGAAGTAATGGGATGGGGATGAGTAGGGGATAGTGACACGTGGCAGTTGATCGTTTTGTGGATCGGAAATTAATCTAGAATCTCTGACTTTTTTTATTGCCACATAGACTACGATCTTCACTTGTTGTGTGAAGACACTTGGCGGTTGACAAGGATAGGCTATACAAACTAGGTCCCAAATGGTAGGAGATAGTTGGATTAATCACTCCGGAAAAAGAATGATTTTTTAATGGGTAATTCCTACCTCTCAAATGGAGATTAGAGGTTTAAGTCTTACAAGAAATATGTGTGTGTGAGTATCAATTAGGAAAAAAAAAAAAATCTTTACCACACGCATGGTTAAACATATAGGAGTAAAAGAATATCTCCACACAATCAAAACATCTCATCTTTTCAACGGATCAAAATATTTGGTGGGAGAATTCAATAAGCGTTATTTCCGTAGCCTAATGAGTTGCTTCTCATTGTTTACATTTCTAAACTATCCTCATTATAGGAACTCTACCCTTTAAAAAACTTAAGATGATCGATTGCAAGGTTCTTGTGAAGAAAATTACCCGTAGAATCAATCATTGAAAAAGTTGAGCTCTTTCTTAGGGTGCAATTGATACAATATGCTTCATCACCTATTGGTTTAGTGCAACAGGTAGGGCACTTGCTCTCAACTCAAAAGTTTAAGTCATTGGATTAATGCTGCATACCCACTCATGCCCTTGTTGAGATTTTATCCCTTATAGTACAGTTGTAGGATTCACGTATTTACTCCTTGATTTAGGGCTAATTGGTAGGTAATTAGTTACCTATTTTAGCTAATCCTATTCTATAAATTGGATGTAATACTCATTAATGAATGATAATATAGAGTTTTTAATACTCTGAATCTGAAGATGGAGCCATCCTTGAACCTTTGAATCTTTTTGAATTTATTTTTATTTTATTCATTGACCCATACACATACAACAGACCCATACATATACCCATCGCAAGCCGTAGCCGAACAAGCTGCAGTGGCATCACAAGCTGTAGCCATCACAAGCCGCTGCCAGCGATCTGCCATCGCCGGATTTGAATCTGCCGTGAACCGCTGCACCGCTGCTTGTCGGTGACTCTTCAAACGGCAACAAACCGCTGCACCTCGACTGCCAAATCGCCGGATCTTCTCCATCATCGCCGTCGTGTCGCCAGATTAAGCCACTCTTTGCCACTGCCTCTCCGGATCGTGTCGTGGTTCTCTACCGCTGCCTCACATCCAATTTTGTTTTTATTTTATCTTTGTCTCTGTTGCTTAACAGAGACTAGGTTGAATATTGTTTGTTTTATCTATATATATATATATATATATATATATATATATTATTCAAAAAAAATAAAATAAATAAAACCCTCTGTTTGGCCACAAGTGTAATACCATTCCAGTTCTGGATTAGTTCAAAACTAAACCAGTTTTGTAACCTCATTTGAAAACTGGTTCTGTGATAAACCAGTTCCACAAAAAAAAAAAAAAAATAAATAAAAAAAAAAAATAAAAAAAAAAATGAGTGAAAAAAATATTGAATCATCTGGAGCAGACAAGTCTACCTACAAATACACTCATTGCAACCAAACTGGTCATACCAAAAGTCGCTGTTTCAAACTTGTGGGATATCTGGAATGGTGGGATCATCACCGTTGGAAGAAGAATTTAACAAAAACCTTCACTGCAGCAGTTGTTAAGACAACAAATATTGGTGGTAAGAATTTCAATATTTTTACACATGTTGCTAATAGTACATGGATAATTGATTCTAGTGCCACAGATTATATGACATTTGATTCTAGACAGGTATCACCTCTTACACACAAATTTGTTTCTACTGCTAATGGGACTTCGACCCCAGTTATTAGGGAAGGATCTTTGACACTCACTGATAATCTGCATTTAGATTCTGTTTTAGTTGTTCTATCTTTAGATTCTAATCTTTTGTCAGTTTCCCAAATAACTACAGTTTTATCTTGTGTTGCCTGATTTTTGTGTATTTAAGGACATCCAAACAAAGCAGACGATTGGTTATGGTATTAGGAGAGGGAAACTGTATTACTTGGATTTGATGTCCAAAAGTTCAGACAAGCTGCGACAAGCATTGACAGTGGATAGTTATGAGGGGGACAGAAAAAAATCTGAAATCTGGCTATGTCATCGACGTCTGGGACATGCTTCCTTTGGTTATCTGAAAAAATTATTTCCGAATTTGTTTGCAAAATGTGATGTTTCTAGTTTCCGCTGTGATGGTTGTGAACTAGCAAAAAGCCACCGCGTTTCATATCCATTATGTTTGCATAAAAGTCTACTTCCTTTTATGCTTATACATTCTGATGTTTGGGGTCCGTCCAAAGTCACTACTTTAGGTGGATCTCGTTGGTTTGTTACTTTTATTGATGACTGTACCAAGATGACCTGGTTGTGCTTGATGAAGTCCAAAGGTGAAGTAAACTTATTATTTCAGAAGTTTCATAAAATGGTTGAAACTTAATACAATGCACATGTTCAGGTTCTCCGTAGTGACAATGGTGGATAATATCAGAGTTTTTCCCTTCAGCAGTATTTGGAAGCACGTGGAACTATTCATCAAACCACTTGTTCCAATACACCCGAGGAGAATGGGGTTGCAGAGCAAAAAAACCAACACTTGTTGGAGGTTGTTCGTGTTTCATTGATAGAAGCACATATGCCATTATCGTATTGGGGAGAATCACTTACCTCTGCAGCATATCTCATTAATCGAGTACCTTCTAACTCTATTGCCTTCCGAACACCATTGCAGGCTCTCACTGACGCAGTTGTTGCCCCAACCGTCCCAAATCTACCTCCTCATGTCTTTGGTTGTGTAGCATTTGTACACCTTCATAAGCATCAACACAACAAGCTAACTCCTCGAGCATTGCGATGCGTTTTTGTAGGATATGCTATTCATCAAAAGGGGTATCGCTGTTATTACCCTCCTATTTAACGAATGTTTATCACAATGGATGTTGTCTTCCATGAAGACTCGATGTATTTTTCCTCTGTGTTTGAACTTCAGGGGGGAGTACCAGAACGAAATTCAGATTCTAGATTATGATTATCACATTTTTGAGGACGACGATTCTAATGTTAATGACTCACAAGTTGGACTAAACAATCGGGAATTAGGCGAATTGGATTCGAGTGGTATAAGTTTGGATCAAAGTGGTGATGAACGCCCAAAAATGGATAGTATGGCGCCAACCCCATCGTCGTCCCAGTTCGAGTCATTTGCAACTGATATATCAAACCAATCGCCTGTTGAGGATGTTCCTGATTTAGTGTTTGAGCCACTCAGAAAACAATTACCACCGCGTTACACTAGAGGTATTCCTAAACCCACATATGAACTCGAACTTTCTAGTAAAGTTAAGTATTCCATGAGCAATTATGTGTCGAACCATCATTTGTCAGAATCAAATTTGTCATTTGTAAATCAATTATCTACTATATCTATTCCTAACAGTGTGCAGGAAGCCTTAGTTGACTCTAGGTGGAAAGCAGCTATGAACGAGGAGATGAAATCCTTGCAGAAAAATGAAACTTGGGAACTTATTGATCCTCCACCAGGAAAGAAACCAGTTGGATGTCGATGGATTTACACTGTGAAGTATAAAGCAGATGGCACAGTTGAACGCTTTAAAGCAAGATTGGTGGCAAAAGGTTACACCCAAACCTATGAAATCAATTACACAGAGATGTTCGCACCTGTAGCAAAAATAAACACAGTTCGTGTCTTGTTGTCTTTAGTTGCGAGCTTGGATTGGCCATTACAACAATTCAATGTGAAGAATGCCTTTCTACATGGTGAATTATCTGAGGAAGTCTACATGGATCTCCCACCAGGATGCATGATACTCGAAAAGTATAGTCGGAAGGTCTGCAGGTTCAAGAAAACATTATATGGGTTGAAACAATCTCCAAGAGCATGGTTTGAAAGATTCACAAAGTCTATGATAGCCTTTGGCTACCGTTAGAGCAATTCAGACCACACGTTATTTCTGAAGAAATAACAGGGTAAGATCACTGTACTCATTGTATATGTAGATGCCGTGGTGGTTACAAGGATTGATCCTGAAGAAATGAAAGCTCTCAAGAAGTACTTGTCCAGAGAATTCGAAATGAAAGATCTAGGTCTTTTGAGATATTTTCTTGGGATTGAAGTATCTCGATCTAATAAAGGAATCTTTCTATCTCAAAGAAAATATGCCTTAGATCTATTAAAAGAGACTGGCATGACAGCATGTCAACCAGTTGAGACACCAGTGGAAGAAGGACTGAAGTTATGTGTTGAGTCCAACCAAGTACTTGCTAATAAAGGAAGATACCAAAAACTTGTAGGGAGATTGATGTACTTAGCACACACGAGACTAGATCTGGCTTATGCATTGAGCATTGTTAGCCAGTTTATACATGATCTTGGAGAACAACATATGAATGTAGTTATGCGCATTTTGAGGTATTTGAAATCTGCTCCTGGAAAAGGAATTTTGTTCACTAAAAATGCTGGTTATTAAAACATAGCTGCATATACTGATGCTGACTGGGATGAAGCTATAGATGATAGGCGATCTACTTCTGGTTACTTTACTTTTGTAGGAGGTAATCTTGTTACATGGAGAAGCAAGAAACAAAATGTTGTTGCTCGTTCGAGTGCAGAAGCTAAATTCAGAGGTATGGCGCTTGCACTTTGTGAAACATTGTGGTTAAGATTTCTATTGCGGGATTTGGATTATCTACCTGGGCAACCTATTCGACTATATTGTGATAATGAAGCAGCATGTGATATTGCCCATAATTCAGTTCAACATGATCGTACGAAATATGTTGAAATAGACATATTTTTCATTAAGCAGAAGTTGGATGGGAAAATTGTGGAGTTGCCTAAGATTCGATCCGAGGATCAACTAGCCGACATTCTCACCAAAGCAGTCTCAAATC